GTTGTATGCTCTGTGTTTCTCGTGTTTGCGGTAAATCTAAACTGGGGAGATTGTCAAATCGAATACTCTTTGATTTAAATAAAGCAGGTATATTGATAGATTGTTATATTAAATAATGTCTGTAGTTTACGCGAGTAGTACACATTTAAATAAAATATATTAACGGTTTAAAACGCGATATATTTTAGTTAAACTTGTTTGAAAATTATTTTTAACTAGGGTCCGACGTTTCGGATGCTTTGCAGCAGCCGTTGGCACGGGGAGACTGCTAAAATATATCGCGTTGTAAACTATCTAAGTGTTTTATTTAGATTGTTATATTTTTAGTTAGCAACATTAATGAGATAATGTTGTCATTCGTCCCATAGACACATTACACTGAAAGAATCCATTAGCAATTATCCAGTAAAAATTAGAAGAAGGAAATGAAGGAATGAAAGAATGATATGATTTCATAATGAAAATAATCGTATATATGAATTAAAACTGTATCTTAGAGAACGTTATAACTCACTATTTGTATAAGATATACATGATGGTCTAGTTGCATAATTCTAGTTGTATCAGTCATACGAGTAAACGGATAAAAAATATTATTTGCTCGCTAAAACAGCGAGCGTTCCGGAATATTTGGTACGTATAAATTTTCTACGTGTAGTTTGAATATTTCGCTTTGCAAATACGAATTAGTTCGTCGCGTTTAAATTTTAAATTCGATTATATTTTAGAACACCTTTTGTTTATGGGTTCAAATATTGCAAACGTAACAATGTTATTGTCTCTATTTTACGCGAGTAGTACAAATTTAAATAAAACACTAACGGTTTAAAACATGATATATATTAGTTCAACTTATCTAAAAAATACAACCCTACGTTTCGGATGCTTTCCAGCAGCCGGGGTCACGGGGAGACGAAGTTAAAACAATTTTGAAATAAGTTTAACTAATATATATCGCTTTAAACCGTTAAAGTGTTTTATTTTAATGTAATAATGATATATTTTTTAATGAAACATCTACTTATATTGAAAAAATCGATGGCCCGGGCGAGACTCGATTCCACCGTGTTTCGCTCTGTTGTTATTTACAACTATACAAATATAAGCAGATGAATTTAATGATCAAAAAACCATAGGGAGCTATCTAATTACAATTGATATGTTCTTTTATTAAGAATATTAATATCATTAACATGTAAAACACTAATTTCGTTCACCTTTCCGTCTTAACAATATTTATTTTATTTTTTTATAAAAAAAAACAATTTATTTTCGATTTGTAAATTATATAGTGCCTTCATGTGCAATAATATGTAAAAAATAATAAAGTTTTCAAATATTTATTTCATGAATCAGCATCAAATTTAAATTCAAGTTATTAGAGTGAAGACCGCAAGACTTCAAAGACATTAAACAAGAAAAGACATCGCTTAAGAACGTAATAACAGTTCGACTTTAGCTTTGCAAATTGCCTAGCTCCCAGTTTTACGTTTGGGCTGTGGTCTCCTATATAGATTATCGCATAGTCTACAGTAAAATTTTTTTGTCATAGAGGAGGACAGACAACCATAAGCTTCGCTTGGTGGTAGGTGAGATACCCCAGCCATATAACGTCTAAACAAGATGGGTTGTCGACCTATTACGGCTTCTTCATCTGTGATATCCAGATTTCTAGACGAAGTCCAACATAGTTCAGAAAGAATATAACGTTGGTTTCGGTGGGGATCGAACCGTCGACCCGTAGATATTTAGCCATCCTCCAACCACACCCCAACTAGCCCCTCATAGCCCCTATAATAGATACATTGTTGGTAACGATATTTGAGTTCTTTAATCGTCAAATGATCTGATTGATTGATGGATGACCTCAGCCTAATTTTCAGCAAAAATTCACGGCTGTACTCTGCACTAAAGTACCTTTACCAGAATGGAGACTTTGAATCCTATCTAAATCAGGTTCGTGATATATTGAAGGGATAATTACAGAACGTTCTCACACGCCCTAATGACCTCGTGAGCTGTATAAACTTTTCTTATTATAAATTACGGAAGTCAAAGGTAATCTTTGCGAAAACTTTTGGTACGAAATCCTTTTTGTAAATGTAGGGATAACAGAATTGCTAAGTTCATTTTAATTCATACCCTGTGTGGTAGATGAGGATTGTACAGAAGAAGTAATTTTCGTCTTAAGTTTCTTCATTAATTAACAAGGTCTTTTTGGAGAAAGCTAAATATAACTCGGTTAGAATTTAGTGATACACATCTTTTTACAATACACTTTTGATGACTGCATTTTCGTTAATGAATATTATAAAAATTCTAATAATTAATTCCACGAAAGAATCCATTTTCAAAACTATACAATAATATAATAAGTATAAAAGGTAACAATAAAAAAATAACACAGATACACATTCTACATTTTATTGTAGATGGATATCACTCAGCTGTTAATACAAATATTATTTATAGTATTTCAAAGATTATAATATAATGTAATATCTATAAAATTATTTATTGAATTGCAATATTTTTTAGGTTTGTGTATTGTACAGTATATCCAATAGATTAACTCAAATTTAAAATCTTCTTATTGTGATATCAATTTATCCATTCCTACCCAGACTTACGTAATATGATCCATGTCGTATTTTAGAGCACTATTCACCTGTCCACGCCATAACTAAACGTTACACAAACACGAATCGAAGCGGAGATTTGACCTAGAAACTGTAAGTAGATCGCAATGAATTTAGGATATAATTGCCTCGCTCGAAAGCTTAATTTTAACGATGCCACAGATATTATATTTCCGGACTTATAAAGGGCAAAATGTTCAAGAAAAAAGTGTATATGTTGCTCCTAGTAGTTTTACTTACTACCGCTAGTTACTTACGCCTTTAAGCAGTAATTAGAAAGTTTTTTTTATCATTTGGAAAAAACAACAATAAAACAAAACTCTATCTTTGTCTGTGTTTTAAGAGTTTCCTAAGTTATTAAAATGAGTTTCAAAGCTACGCTTAAACATTATTGAAACTAGCAAACTGCAAAGTGCAAAACTACTTGTCATAATCGACGACTATATTAAAGTGGATCACATTTTAAAATTAGTTTATTATATTATATTATTAGTTCAATTTAGTTTATTATTTTATTCGTCGCATTTGTATAATGTTGTATTCGGGTGCATTTTTATATATGAAAGTATTTTTAACAGGTTATTTTATTTAAATAAAAAACTTTAACGGTTTAAAACGCGATATATTTTAGTTAAACTTATTTGAAATTAGATTTTAACTTCGGATGCTTTGCAGCCTTTGTCGTCACGGAGAGACTAATATATCGCGTTTTAAGCCGTTAAAGTGTTTTATTTAAATGTGTACTACTCGCGTAAACTATATACATTTTATTTTATTGTTAACGTAATAGATTTAGTTTTAAATTTACAGCCGAAATTACTATGATGAAGTGTGAAACATTGAGTGGCATCTGTGACGAAATTGTCTTTATGAATTTAAATGTTCAATATCCGAACAACGGAATTACGTACCTATAGAAAATTTATAACAAAACAATTAATGTCTATATTAATATAAAGGAATATATTTGTATATATAAATTCGGTTCAATATGAATACTTCATCGAACGAACCGAATCAAACGAAAAGAAAATACAAAAGTCTAAAAATAAACCCTATATATCAATATAAATCCCGACAATAAGGATAAGCCGAAAAAATATGAAGAAGAAAAAATTATATTAAAAAGTTTTGTGTTGTCCCAGATTAGAACGAGTAAGTTATATTTATAGTACAATTGGCTTTGCTACTAAATTTCTTTAAAAGTTGAAAGAAATTAAAACACTTTCTAAAATTATGAACCTAAATCAGATTAAATGGTATAAAACGGGTTAAAAATCATTAACTATGATTTTCAATTCCTAATTAATTAAAAACTATTTAAATAAAAAGCTCTGCTATTTAAAATCTAAATTAAACTTTAGTTCTTAATAATTATCTTGTAATAGATACATTAAAACCGTATATAATAAGTATTTTGTAGATAGTGAATTATTAATAATTTTAAAAAGTTATTTACAATTAAACAAGGCAATTGTCGAGGGTTCTAATCCTGCCTATTAAATGACGTTATAACATTTTCTAAAGTTATTAAAAACGATTTTTTCAGTCCAATTAATAACATTGATTTATCATACAACTAATCCAATAAAATAAATCAACATTTCCAATAGCTTTATTTAAATTTATGCATCACTAACTGGCTTTTGTTAAAATAGATTCAATAACACTGCTGTAATTTACTGGATTACAGTAACAATTGAGCTAAACTTATTGACGTCACCATTCAAAATTAATATGGATTATTTATAATTAATAGCATTTATAAACCTCTATTTACGTAGAACGTAGTAACTATAATATTTTTTATAAGACTAATAAGTCCTCCAAGGAACAACAATATGTCGGAAATGAAGGATCACTTTTTCACCAATTCGTTTCAGGCCACACCCATACTCCTTACCTTATTACAGCATAATTAACGATTACTTAATTCTTCCTACTGTTTACTCAATCTTGATACTTATATCTTCGTTTTAACGTATGAAATGCGCCAATTAGACAATACTAAACACCTTTTTATATTATACCAAAGACCTTCACAGTTTATAGAAACTTTTTTCTTTCTTATCTTCTATGTTTGATAAGTAATAAATACTACCTTGAAAGCCTTTAAATATCTAAATAGAATGCTCTATGAAATGCGAAAGCAATTAATAGCGATGACTGTTAGTTAAATCTAAATAATTCTACTAACTTTTATTGCTTCCAACTGAGGTGCGATAAAATTAATTGAATTTGCTGTTTAACTGTCTTATCTGCTATTCTATTTATGGAATTAATAAAAAAAATCTTTGCATTACTAATATTTGCTGTTTGTTTTATTCAAAGCGAAGTTTATAACGCGCAATGTTTTCACAGACTCTTCGAAGAGAACCAGGACCTCTTGAATATGTTCGAGAAATTTCGACAGTGCAGAACAAAAGAGGAACAAATAAACTCCATGGAGTTAGCGGAACACGCCAATAACGTTATGAATACCCTGGACGAGGGGATAAAGGGGCTGGACGATTTGGACAATTTCTTTGAGTATATACACCAAGTTGGAGCCAGTCATAGGCGGATACCTGGATTTAAAGTAGAATATTTTTGGGTACGTAATAAAGATAATGCCTTAAATATTTAAACTATGACATTTTCAAATTAAAAATATGTAACTGTAAAAATCATTCGGTTTTAAATTGTAACCAAACCAAACACGCTAAAGTTATTAATATTTGTTTCTGTAAGATATACATAAAGCTTTCACTTTTTTATGATTGTGGAGGACAGACAAACATAGGGTTTACACCAGGAAAACTGGAATACCCCAGCCAAATAACAACTCAACGAGATTTGCTGTCGAGCTATTGTAGCTTTGGATATTAAAACAAAACGCGATTTTTACGGCTTTTTCATCTGTGGACAGTGGCTCGTGACGGAATTTCGATATTCCCACCACTCATTTAACATACAAATTTCTAGAATCCAACGTGTATCAGAAATTCAATAATAAATTTATTGGACACATTTTGGACCCGGTGGGGAACGAACCCACTACCCGTTGATTATAAGCCATACCATATCATATTAGTATAGAAAAACCTATTGAAGTTCTTGGTCTACATGACTATGTCGTGTCCACAGGAAAAAGTCGTCGCACATTCCTTATAATTCAATAAGAAAAGACACAATATGGCGAGTCACGCGCCAAATATTCTCGAGATACAATTGGGATTATTTGCAAAACTTTCACGTACATTCCATCACTATTTCTTGTGTGTCTCGTGATGCTTACAGCCGTGGCATTTTTATTATCTCTCAAAGCTTTCATTTGGTCTTTATATCGAACGTATAAGATATACCTCGGCTAATATAAATTTATAAGAATTAGCGCTGTGTTTAGTACTGTGTAAGTGTGATACATGCGATCTTCGTCGTGGCTTCGATTCTACGGGGCCTTCATGTATTTAATTATGAATTGATATTTTTTTATGAAACTTAGGTGGTAGGGATATCCAATTTCCGGGTTAGGAATCACAGTTGATGAAAAAGCGGTAGAATGTTAATCGTATTTCGTCTGTGTGATTTCCATGTCCAAAGGCAAAATAGGCCGATAGCGCATCTTGTTTAGATGTGATGGCATGGATATTTCAGCTTTCAGTAAGGGGTTGTCCATTGATCACGTAAGGCTTGAAAGGGGAGGGAGGGGTTTGATAAAAATCACGAAAATAGCACAAGGGGGAGGGGGGGTGTAGTAAGATATCGCGTGTATTTATTTTTTCGTCAAACGCGCGATTTTAAAACAAATGGTGTAGACATTTTTATTATGGTCCTTAATTTCAGAATAAAAATAAGATCACAGTTTATACCTGTATTTAAATTAAGATAATATTCAGAAAATTTTAAGATTCTTTGTAGGTACTAAAAATACACGTGATGTTAAGAAGGGGGAGGGGGGTGGTCTGAAACCTCACTACGTATCACCAGGGCGGTAGGGGGGGTTTAAAAATTCTAAAAAAAGGTCACGTGATTAATGGACAACCCCTAAGTGAGTCCCATACGCGTCTCTCCTCTTCTGTCATAAATATCTGTTATTTCGTAAAAACTTAAGTAGATAATTCTAAATTGATACGTTATAAATTAACAAAAAAAATATTATCCAAATATTTTAAACTCTCTTATGTAACTAGTTTTTATTCTAATATATCAATAATATTTTTATTATCTCTATAACTTCATGCTAGAAATATATATATATATATTTCTATATGCGTGAAGTGTAAAACTGATCTAATATTATACAAGACAAATACCTAAATAATGCTATTCAGATGTTGTATTGTAAAACATATACAAGTTCGAAGTCAGTTGAAATTGTTAATTGTAATCAAATAAAACGGATGTATATGTTTGCATGTAATGTTTGCGAATCCGAAATTTGATTTTACGGGATCAATTGATTGATCGCGCAATGTTTAGCTCAATCACGTCACGTTTACGTTGAAATGATTCTATGGTATGTTCCACGTATTAATTTTAACGTAGTTGATAGATAGAGTCAGGGCTATTATCTCTGCAATAGCTATTACCCACGACGTTGTCCGCGTACCGTCTATTTTACGAGACTTAAAAGATGGGAATATAGTGTCGCGGACATTTTTCATAATTATTTAAGAGGAATTATTCTTTCTTACATATTTTATGGTTTCTTGAATCGTTTTCGCCGCGCACGCAACAAAAGCCATCCAAGATGAATAATTTTCCCCGTTCTTGCCACATTTTTCACTGTTTTTTCCGATCCCATTACTCACAGCATTATGTTTACAGTTTTTGCGATTGGCGCGTACGAACAAACAAACTCTTCAGCTTTATAATATTAATATAGATTAAAACATTTATTTATGTATGTAGATAGTAAGCAAAGTCATATAAATAAGTCTTCTTGTTACAGAAAATCGAGGCACCATTCCTAGCCGCTGTAGAGGCGACCTTAGGTGATCGCTATACGCCCAACGTTGAGAACATCTATAAAATAACGATAAAGTTCATACTACAGACTCTAGTTGATGGCTACGAGAAAGCAAAGCCTTCGACGTGAACCTTCGGACGTTTAGTGTCTAAGCTCATATTGTCCTTACGTTGGTATATTCTGCAATTGAGACAACATACGACGTTAAACGACATATATTTCCAATGTCATAGAGAAACTATCACTCGCATGAAGAATTTAACTTTAAAAACCAGTACAATGTTATATGTTAATATAACAAACCTATATGATATATACAGTCATTAACAAATAGCTGAACGTTAAATATATTTAAGCTAACGCCACTTTATCTTATTAAAAATATAAGAACAAGTTATAATTTATTATTAATTATTTTAACATACAATTTCTTACATTGATTATTTCCTTAGTGAATTTTTATTACGTTATTTCACTGCTTATCATAGGTTTGATTCAAAAGTTTATAGAACATTGGAAAAAAAATTGTAAAGGCTTTATAAATAACAAATCTTTAGTCGACTTGTAGTCTTGACAGTTCTAGATTGTAATATAACGCAGCTAACTAACCTAACAATACAGCTATTTACTATTGATCTTTCCGTGTATTTTTTTGCTTTTAGCCACGGAATTCTAACAACTTAGCAGAAAATAAATAATTTTCAACCGCAGACAGATATGTACCAAGGGACCTCTATATTAAACCAAACTCGTTGGAGTTAGACATTCTTTATACGAGGGAAGTTTCGTAAGAAAATCATTGTTTTGTTTATATTTTATTCTTTCTCTAATGTAACTAAAAATATTATAAATTCTGCATTAAAAGATAATTTACGACATACTACAATACTCATGTCCTTATTACTCAATAATAATTAATAATTGACTGCGACATTTGCATTTCAAACAGTTAGAAGTGTTTCATTTGAATGTTACAAAAGTAGCGCCGTAAGCGTAGAATTCAAATACTGTCTCTAGTTTACGCGAGTAGTACATATTTAAATAAAACACTAACGGTTTGCAGCTGCCGAAAGGTCGGTCCATAGTTAAAGATAATTTTCAAATAACTTTAACTTATATATATCGCGTTTTAAATCGTTAAAGTGTTTTATTTAAAGTGTAGAATTTATTACATCTTTCATCATATAGCAAGACAAATCCTTTTTTTCTCAAATAATAGGACCATTATATAATTATTATTAGACATGGGCCGTGTACTCGGCTGATACTCGGTACTCTACGTACTCGGCGGGTTTTTTTATACTAGTACTCGGCTGAATAACTCGGTTTTACTTCGTTATTTGATACCGCGTATACTTTGTTTAGAAAAACAAAATATTTAGGTAGTTATAATTGAAACAACAGTGCTAATCCAAAAGTATTTACTAGTAACTTATAAATAACTTAGGGAATCTACGAAAATCTCAATTAATAAAATAAAAATTATGCTAATGAATGAGTAGTAATGAAACGAAATTACGAGAAGATGAGAGGGAGCCGACGTCTTGATCGGCGCGAACCTGTTTGTACTTATTTACGCGAGCAAAATGGAAATTTTATTGAACCGAATTACTCGGCCGAGTACTCGGCGCATCTCTAATTATTATTATTTGTGTATATAAAATACATACATACATACAAGCCCGTTAATATAAAAAGACAAAGTATGCAAGGACTATGTATCCCGTACTTACTATCCAATATAATAATTAACTAAAATAACAGTTTTATTTCCATGCAAAGAAGATTTAATATAAGCTCTTAAGAATAAAAAAAAAACATCTGAACATGATAACTATTTAAAATAAAAGCTACGTGTATAGACGGTGTGAGCTTAGAGAAAAAGGCGGTATTTTTCCACTCCGGATCTCGTATTTTTGGAGATACCTGTACAAATGTCAATTTGGAAACTTAAATGTACTGTGTATTTATATAAATGTATACAAAGTGTATCTTCTTCATTCTCAAGAGGTTTAACGGAATGAACAATTAATAGGTGTGTATGTTTAATTGTAATATTAATAATATAAATGTTTTACAAATTAAGTCAGTGTACATTAGGACGGTTCGTTATAAATAGTTTTTAATCTTTTCAATGTTAAAGTAATCGAATTATCAACCATATGTCTTAGGTTCTTCTTGATAAAATTCAGACTATTACTATATTTATTTTTTGAACCTATAATTCCACTGGCGGACAGGGATGTCCTGCCTCGTAGGAAGTACAAGAAGCCGCATGGTTCCTGCTTCAGTGCTGGTTGACAGACTTTAACGACTGCCATTCAACGCTAATTTAGTGATGGTAATCCAGCTTAAAGTGTTTTACCAGACAAAATGGTGGCGACCCTTTCTATTCCTAAACGTTAAGCTGGTACCAGATCGCCTTTGTAGCCAAATGGTCAAACGTGCTGCCTAGTATAAAGCGCGAAGTCCTCGTTTCGAATGCTGGGAAAACAATAGATTGGTTCTGTCGAACAAGACACCGAAGTCTGATCAACTACTTGTAAAAGACGCGAAGAGTGAAGCAAAGACATAATTATGTTAGCCCCATGCCCCACATGGGGAAACGTGGTTTCAGTTACTACTACTTCCACCCAGGACCTCATTATTCGCGTTAGACTGCATTTTATTTGTATTATTATTTTAATGTACACATTCTATTACTACATATATATGAAAGAATATAATAATGTTATACATGTCGTTTATGGGACGTTCGAAGGGTGAAACAAAGGGAAAGAGTGATAAAGGTAATCATTAGATGTTAGTTTAGGACGTGGAAATCGATTTCGAAGGTGGATAAGGCTGAAAATTGAGCGCAAATCTCGGCTAACCGGGCATCTTATATGTGGAAACCGGAAAGGCGAGTCAATCTGTCATATTTTATGACATTTTATAAATGGAAAACATGCGAACGATACGATTTGACGGGCTCATTGGTCAAAGTATGGCTAATAATAAAAAGTTCGTGGGTTCGTCGTTCGTTTCTAATAATCGATTACTTAATACATCTTTGGATCGTGTTCGACTTCGACTGGAAACTGGACCTTCAAGGGATGATAGAAATAAAAAAAATGTCCGGATCACGAATTACAGTGCACACATGAAAATATTCGGTGTTAATCCGCGTTGCGGTTTCAGTCTGTGGATTGCCGAATGTCTAAAGTCAAAATTTGGCGTCAGTGAAATTAACAGTATTTATAAACCTGCTTTTAAAATGGTTACAATACTTCTTTATCATATGAAATTACGCTGTGGGATTTTCATAATTACTTAAGTACTTATTAAACAAAAAATGTCCCGATTCATACTTCCTATCACTGTTAAATATCGTATCTATTAAAAGTACTATCAACTAACTATTTCATAATTATAACACAAAATTTAAACTAAAAATTGACTAAAAATTTGCCTTTCCACATCTTGGTCAAGACAATATAGACAACACAGATGTTTTTTGGTTAATAAGATACTAAATGAGTACCAACAATAGCTATTATTTTTGTACAACTTCTATTGAAACAAAATACAGTTACTAGATAAAATCTGTCTTTGAAAATAACTGTAAAACCGATTCTAAACGACGTCTCTGATCGTTAATTACAAGTTCTTTAAAATAGTAAAGTAGTAACAGTGAGTAGACGTTGATAAATGACGGATAAGATGTCGGTTTTTACTTGTGCATACGTTTCTATTTTTCTAAGCGTAAATATTACCGAAAATCGACGAAGCGCGAGTCGAAGACCACGTATCAATAATAACCAAATCTTTTTATCGAAAATCACTTCAAAAACCAAAACTATATATAGACAGTGTTTAAATCAAAACTGTTGTGTATAGTGAATACTCCAATTTACTTTGATATTTAATTCACTTACTATCACATTTCGATAGTTCTCTTGAACCCGAAAAAGATCCAGTTATGTGTTTCTGATCGTCATGGACGAAATTATAACATTAAATAACAACTTTGTTTTACACATATTACCTTTGTTAGAGGAACATATAGATGTTCTCATATTTTTATTTAATTTATTTATTACAGCTTCATTATTTATAATATATACCACATAAACTACAAAAGTTAGAAAAACTTACGTACTAAATAATAGGCTTATCGCTAGCAGCGATCTCTTCCAGACTATCTGAAGTAAAGGAGAAAAGAAAATAAAAAAAAGGCTTATTATTATACTATATATTATTTATTTTTATTTAGTACTTACCCTAATTGTGTACATTTATTTTTACTATAAATATAGCTAATAAATGTTAATTAGTTTTAGAGTCGTGTCGCTATGTCTTTAGATATTCTATAATTAAGAAAGGCGAAAATATCTGCTTTTCAATAAATTTTCCTTTATTACCTGTATTTGTAACACATACAACATATATATGTATATAGAAATCAAATGTCAATCAATAAAATCATGTAAGGGATTTTTCACTGTATATATTCAAAGTTTTTATTTACTTATCTTGTATATTTTATAATAAAAGATACTGAGTAGAGAAAAAGTGTTGTGTTCTTTTTTGATTAAATTGTATTTGGGTAGTAAAAACACGCTTAATGTACTTATGTAAATAATATATTATTTATGGATTAAGGCGTCTTCTATTCTACGTTTAAGTACAAGTGATACATAAATGAAATTTCAGTAAACATGATTTGAAATACTTCGGTTATTCAAATAAATAAAATCCTCAGGTTGAAAGGCACTTGAGCGCTGAATGTATATTGAATTACTTATGATCTGCATTCGCGAAGAATTCTCGTAGCCTACAAAGAAAATATATTTCAATTTCACTTAGGGAATTTTCTCATCACTTACTTAAGAATAACCAAATTAGATGTTTTTCTTTTCTCAATCAGTTGTTTATATACGATGACACGAATATTTCCACATAAAATTTATATAATATACGTGAGTAATACACTTTTAAAGCACTATAACGGTTTTAAACACGAAATAGTGTGTCTCCAAGTGACCACGTTTGCTGCAAAGCATCCGACACGTCGGCCGTTGAAATAATTTGTAAGAATAATCTATTTTGCGTTTTAAACCGTTATAGTTCATATTTAAATGTATACAATTACAAAAGTTCGACTGTATTACCTACATTACTAATTGAACGCTTGCTATAGTTTTTTTTACTTATGACGTTTTACCAATGAACGATTTATTGAATGTAGTCTTTTCCTATTTAATAACGTGTAATTTGGTGCAACTACTGATCTCTGTGTTCTGTGTAAAAATTGTGTGTTTATATATATATGAGATGAATGAAATTATATGTAAGATATATATCTTCTTAGGAATTGTGTCGATAAAGGATCTCTTTGTGGACTCTTAATGTGGAAAAAATCTGTTAAAACATGACATATTTCCTAAAAATACATACCTCCTGAAGTCTTAAATTTGTGTAATAGTTTCACGTTATGAAAATGTGGTAAATGTTTTGCTGTATCTAAGAATATTATGATTGATGTATCAAATATTGTTTTATTTGGAAATAAATTATTTTAAAATGCCATAACATTTCTTTAATATTTAAACTGCATGAATATAAAGACAATAAATAAATAAAAAATAAAGTAAAACATATAATAGAAATATCATTTTTTAAATTGTAAGTTGAAAAGTTGGGTGCTATAAAAAAGTTAGGTCGTGGTCTCCTAGAAATACCGCAAATTATAGTCTACTATAACCCTGTATTTAAAAAATCTCATACTTAAAAAAACACTTTAACGGTTTTAAACGAGACATATATTAGTTACACTTATTTAAACTACTACCCGAGGTTTTATAATAAATATCGCGTTTAAAACTGTTGTTTTAAACTTATTGTTGCGAAGATTCTAAATACCGTGCGCGAAGAATAGCGTGTGTAGGAGACCACATCCTAAAACGTAAACTTTCGAGCATCGAAGCCATTTAAAAAAACAATTGAAGTACCGATATCAAACACTAAAACCATTTAGATCTTGCTTAAAATTTCACCTTTAAGTCCTCGCTATAAGATCTACATTCTAATTAGGAGAGAGAATACCCAACGTGACGTATGCTGACCATAATTACAAAAATGGACAACACTATTATCATACAATTGCTGTGCGTCATAAATTGTATGGTCACGAAGCTATTGAGATAGTGATGGGCTTTTATCGACGCTGACAAGTGTAGTAAACCAGCTAAGTGCGAGCGTTCCGTACTACACATCATCTGTAAATATTATTATCATCTGTTAATATATAAAGCTGAATAGTTTATTTGTTTGAAAGCGCTAATCTTAGGAACTACTTATTCGAATTGTAACATTATTTAGAGGATTTATCGAGGAAGTCTATAGAGTATAAAACATCGTGCTACGACTAACAGGAGCGAAGAAACAACGAGAAATGTGAAAAGTGAGGGGAAATTAATTCATCCTTGTGGGTTTCCCTTGCGCACGCTGCGAAAACGGTTCAAAATATCCAAAAAATATCAATCAAAAAATAATTCCTCCTTAAATGATGTAAAAAAATGTCCGCGACAGTCTTTGTTTTAACATTAACTGGCAAGAACTACGGGACGTGAGCGACGTCGTGGTTCGTGGGCAATGTTGCTCAAATTAACTATTCTACGTAGACGAAGTCGCTGACACAGCTAGTAAGTTATAAAATACAATATATCACAAACGGACGCATAGGATCGTAATAGGGTTCCATTTTTAAACTAATGTCGTGGATTCTTTAAAAATGAGTCATAGCATCTTATAGCATAAATAACGGTAAAATGTTAACTAATAATTATTGCAATTTTGGTCACTCTTCTTGTCTTCTTCAGAATATTTTATATCGATAATCGATGCAACTACACTAGCAGGTTCTACAGGACTAAAACTCAGTCAAAAATACACACTTCGAAGTACTGGTCACGTAAGACTAATATTAAATAACGGTTTTAATATTAAAGTAATTAACCTAATTACGTAACCTAATATTATTCTTTCGTTAACCACAAAGAGTGTTGTGTTATCTTTAGTAATGGTAATAACGTGTGTCTGTTAAAATGTGATAGTGTTGTTATACAATTTTGTTCAACATTTGAGTATAATAAACAAATAACAGAACTTGAATTACGATTTGAAAAGAATCCTACATCACTTTTAAAAGCCAATAGGAATTTGAATACAAAATGGGATGTAAGTTATCCCAGCTGGCTTCGTCGGAGTTCAGTTCAGATCCTTTTCATCGGCCTCCCCCGCCTTCAGACCCTAGGTCACCATTGACCACGAAACAGCAGTACTGCATGCTTGCTTCTTGGAAAGGCATATTTAGGCAAATCGAGAAAACTGGAATTATACTGTTCGTTAAGTGAGTATTATGTGTTTATCTTATTTTTCGTTGTAACTATTCTACTAAGATGGCATTGGTATTGCAGTTGTGTTACATATTGACTAGACTAGAGTTAGGGAAAACTATAAAAAGAATCGTTCAGTGAAACGGATATAAAAATGTGTTCGCTCCGTGCCTCTCTCATCATGGAAAGACGAAAATATAGATAAATTCCTGACATTGTTACACATATTATGTCCAAATACGTGAAGTTAATAGAAACAAAAGTGTATTTTTCTTTTAGTTGTATGTTATTAAATAAGAGAATAATACAAATAACAATCAATTAGTTTTAAGTAAAATACTTTAATGGTCAAAAAACGCGATTATAGTAATTGAAAAGCATCCGAAACGTCGGTCGTTAAACATATTTTCAAATAAGTTAAAATAATATATATCGCGTTTTAAACGGTTAAACTGTTTTATTTACATATTGTGTACTACTCGCGTAAACTGTACCGCCAGTATTTACAATCAGTCAGTGTCAAAAATTATATTTATATCAATAATTATATCTACTTTGTAATCATAATTTAACATTTCTTGGCAGATTAAAACAACTTCACTTTATATCATTGGCTTTTGGGGTGTTCAGCCGACGTGAGCGAGAAGAGGTTCTCGACGATTGCTCAAAGCATTATTTGATAATTCTTCGAGCAATCGAGGAGTTAACATCTCCTGATGATGCCGTCCAGACGTGATGGCGAAACGCCGAGAACCTCTTCTCGCTCACATCGGCCGAACAGTCCGAAAGCCATGATATGCTGAACGATGGCCGTGAAAGCCTTACACAATTTATTCAACTTCACTTTGTTATTATGGTTGACATCTTCCTTATTGTTCATGGCAATTGGTGTTATAAACCTTTCAAACAAATTAAATTACTCCAAATATCTCTTTGTCCAGTATGTTTCTAATAACATTGTAACAAACATCCCATTACTAACTACAGCTACTTTAAAGATTTAATTTTTCAGTTTCACTGGAGATAAGTCGATCTCCCGAGAGTTAAATATCTCTAAAAGGCATCTTTAAAGCTTAGCAACTCGACTTAAGCCCCGTTTTCTCAATACACGTAGCAGACCAAAAGCCCTTTGAAGCGACGGTACAACTCTCTAAAAACTATGAATAAAATATACGTACTTATTCGGAATGGTACGTTGTTGCATGGTTTCCGAGAATACATTCGACAAAAATGTTCTTTTCAACAAAGCTTATACTGTTTTTTATATTATATGTTAAATGTAATTAATATTTTCTATATTAAATTTAATTCTTTGGGACTCGATATAGTATTCTGTTTCAGAGATTACAATGCATATTATATTTAGAATTGGTTTTAATTTTAATTCCATATCTTTACTTTAAATGATATAAATTAAGCTTGAAATTACCATTTTGACTCATTTCATTTTCACTTGAATATACAAAATCCAAAAAGTTCGTTGGAAAGACTTTAACATGCAAATTAACGCGAAATAAATTATTTAATTCCAAACAGCGATATGACGTTTCGATCTTTTAAAGCAGTCGTCGTTTTAATGAATTAAAAATTGCTTTATCAACATGCTTAAATATTTATTTCAACTTGTAACGCAAGCGTTTTCGTAACACTACACAAAAAAAATTAGTTTATAATCAACGTTTGTAATAAGAGGTAATTGACGTTTAAATTAAATACTATAACGGTTTAATACGCAAAATGTATAACTTAAACTTATACATGTTTTAACAACGTCTCAAGTTTCGGATGCTTTGCAGTAGCCGAGGTTACGGGGAGATTAAAGAGAAGACAGACATCAGTATTTAGACAAAGACAAAGACAAAGCAATACAAAGACGGACAGTATTTAACGGTAATTGTGTTTCTCTGTAACAGAAAATAGAATGATAGTAGATTAGTTGCGTCAGCGACTTCGTCCGCGTAGAATAATAATTTTGGGCACCTAAATTTGTTTTTGCAAACCAAACCAAATGAAACCAAAGCTTTCATCTTTATAAATATAAGCTATTACCCACGACGTCGGACGGATAATTGTACATCGGGATTAGTATTTTTTGAGATTACCGCGTTTAAACAAACAAACTCTTCAGCTTTATATATTAGTATAGATGATATAATTCCGCGTTATCACGTTACTTGGAATTACTTCGTTATCCGAAACACGAGGCTACCTTCACCTAATCATAGAGATTTACGAGTTCCGTCACAAAAGTATTACATAACTTCAAAGGCGCGTAAAAGTCTCTGTGCATTTTGAATAGCTGGGTGTAAAGGAAAACGTGTAACTCGACTGAAAGTTGCACGTCGCGTAAAGTTTTATTTGATGTTTCAGGGCTGAAACGACTACGGCAACAGTAGTTCTGAACTCTTCTATATTTACATACTGATTTAAACTTATTTGATTCTTCACGTTTAAGCTCTAAATTGAGCATATGATTCACATTCTGGATTTTAAAGTAATCTGGGTTTAAACTTGAGAAGATAGAATAGGTTCAAAACGGATTTCCTACTGATTCATGAAGAACAACCAGTATTCAGCTTTCAACAAATAAGGATATTATTAAAAATCATTTTGTCTGCAGTTTACGCACGTATGTACATATGAATAAAACAATTTTAATGGTTTAAAACGTGAAATATTTTAGATAAACTTACATTAAATGTAATTTAACTATGTGTGTTCGCGTAAGCGCGTTGCCTAACATGACGATAAGCCCGAAAGTTTTATAATTTTTCTGAAACATGTTAGACTTCGACTATAAATCTGATTATTAAGTGGGAGTTAAGAATAACGAAATTCCGCCCGAGTTACGAGCCACCGCGTATAAATAGATAAAGCCGTCAATTTTAATCGCGTTTCGGTTTCAGCCTGTGGGTTACTAAAAATCAAAACCAAAAAAGGTCGACAGCTCATCTTGTTAAGAGATATGGCAGGTGTGTTTAACTTACCATCAGGTGAACTTCAAGCTCATTCTTCTCTGTCATTAAAAAAAGTCTACTTCTTATAACCGGATTTATATTTTTAAATAACGAATGATTTTACAAAACATCTTCATGTCTTGCCATTAGGTAATATATTACCGAGTAAAGTGTACGCTACAACGTAATAATGAGTAATGTTACCATCGATCAAAAGGGCTTATAGTTTTGACTATGATTGATGATAGTCATATGGTTCTCTACTACTTTTTACCCAACCACGCCGCAGCCGAAGAACGGTATTATCGTCACTATACTCGTTTCTGCATTTATATTCCTCTGTACCAGCATTCTAATTACCCGAATATATATAGATTAAAAATCGAAAATAAAATGAAAAAAAAAACTCGGGCAGAACTTGAACAGGCATCGTCAGCGCTCCGTGCTGTTGCTCTAATCAATTCAGCTACCGAATTTTTTATTTTTGTTGTTTAATTTAAGTCCTATTAAATGTTTCGTTATATTGCAGTTGTAAGAGTTTTATAGAAATTAAATATGGCGGAATTAAACTCCTAACTCCGGAAATGAAATAATTATCTTGTACTTAAACTGCTTAATATTAAAAGATGTAAAATGTTCATGCTTTATGTTTAAATAAAATTAATTTATAATAATGTTTGATAACAACGATAATATATGTAGTTATAAGTATGCTTTCATTAAAATATCATGTTTTTTACAAGGATAAATAAAAAAATATTCTTCTAAAAAACTACACGTAGCAAGAAAGTTAGTTTCACGGCTTAAATATTTTATTTATTTATGTAATCGAGTCTGAGAAATGGATTAAAAATAACAAGTTAAAATGAATTCAGGAATTGTTTTTTGTATATATGTAATATCAAGTATGTATTCATATTATATCGTATTGGTCATGAAATTGTTATCGATTCGATAACAATTTCATGACCAAAAATGACAGGGCAGAGATTAACGGTTCTTTAATTCTATTGTTTGTATTTGGAATTCAATAAATACGCAGAAATATATGGATGACCCGGAACAAAAGAGGTAAGTATCGTAAAAATGGCGTCTTACTGATATCATCGGACTGAAAAATGATTTATGCCATGTAATCAACGTCGATTACTGTAGATAGAGAGGGAGACACATATCTCATGCCCCATGCATAGGATATATATCTCACACATAAAGATTTGTAGTTATGGCTACTAGAGTTTCCGGGCTTTCCCCGGGCGAATCAATTTATCATCTTACCCGGGGATTTAAACTCAATCAGAAGCGGGTTTAAATTTGAGCCACAGAGGTCGTCAACTAAAACAATATAAATTTTATATTGTGTATGATAAATTGTTTCAATTTCAACAAAATATTAACATAAACAAAGACCGAATGAACAAAGAGCTCAATGCTGAGGTAGGTTTTTAAGTGTTCTCGTTTTCGCCCCTTCCACCCAGATGGGGAATACAATTACGCTAGCAGCCTATGTACAGTCGCAAAGAACGACACATAAAAAATATTTTACTTTTTCGTTTTTATTATTACCGCCAGAAGTATATACAGTATCACGATACGAGAAGTCTTAGATTCGAATCCAGAATAAACAATAAAGTAAAGCGGCAAGCTGCAGAATTGTAAAATATTATTTATATGTTAATATAATAAATAGATATATTGAAAAATTAGGTGATTGAAATTTACATCATATGAAAAATCTAAATAACTATTCTATACAACTCCTTGCCTTTCCTTTTATACATTAATAAGTATGTTTTACCTTCAGACTATAAACACATCAACAATAAACAATATGTTCAGACAATTTTTCGTAAATTAATGGCTTTTTAATAATTTTAAATTAATAATTAAATAGAGAAAATATATGATTAAAATGTTTTTTTTTATATTTTTTTTTCAATATAATTTTTTGCTTTCTTTTTACGTACGCACTTATGGGCGTAACTGTACAGTGGCAACAAATCGCACGTTCACTGAGTCCCTCTGTAGTTCTTGTTAGTCCTCGATTGAAGCTCGTTACAATTACACAGTACACAACAACCCTCATAACTGCTATCATTTCAGTGTTCTCGTGACCTTTTTAGTTTAGTAACATTGTCTGTAAATTTCTATGTTTTATACGACTATAGATTTTCAATTGTTAATTACCAAAATGTTTATAGTCTGTGCAACCACCGCGAGACTTCGTACACCATGAGACTATATATAACTAATATATTAGAGGAAAAATCATAAAAACGTCATCGCTTACATGCAGTGCAGACAATTTAATATTGGACAAACATCGTTATCACAAGTTAAACATTGTTGTCCCTGAAGAATATATTTGTGTAGGCCGATGATAGTTCGCGTTTTGCGAATTACTTTATATTGATTTTTACGAGTAAGCTATGCGGAGCTGTTCTTAAAAATCTAAGAACGGAGACGCCTAATTAGAATCACTATATGTTAAAAATACGTTTTATCTAGTAAAGTTCGTCAACCTACGTTTCATTTAAGCTTTTATACAAAGTTGTATTAATAATTCCTTATGTATCATTCAAAATACCTAATAATTATATTTTATGAGCTTTTATTTCAGTAGCGAAATTAATCGCACTTCGGTTTCAGTCTGTGGATTTCATCTAAAGCCAAAATCTTCTAGTCTAGTAGAGTCAAGATATTATATAACTGGGATATTTCTTCTACCAACAAGTGAGCTTGTCTATCCTAAAAAATCTATACTCAATCATAAAAAAAAAAATTAACTGCAACAAATATTCACGAAAAGACATAACTATGCTAGCGGGTTACAGAGATATACTCGTAGATGTCACGTTTCAAGCGTTATTAACATAATGTATGCAATTCGGAAAGCCATTGTCCATAGCAACTGTTTGAAATTGAATTATAAACGAATTAATTCGTGGACAATACGAAACATTTCATAGCAAAGTTATATAGGTAAAGACACAATTACTATTATACCAGATAATAACGAAGATTTAATATTGAAAATAAATTAGTTCAATAGTTATAAGCATTTCCTACCGTTATAGATGTCCTGGTTTTAAACCTTGGGGAAACACAGCCAATAGTTTTAGTCGACAAAGAAGTCCCATCACTCACTTCTTCGAATTGATAACTGATATATGAACTTAAATATAACGTACTGGCTTTTTTGAGCATCTCTCTTAAATAATAACCTTAAAAAAGAGTAGCTTATAAGAAGGACGGGATGCGTCTGACGTCGTGCATAACAGCTTAAATTGATAAAAACGAGTAGGAGGTGATTGTCTTTCGGACTGTTCGGGCGATGTGAGCGAGAAGAGGTTGCTCGAACCCTCGATTGCTCGAGAATTAATAATTCGTTGAGCAATCGAGGGGTTAACATTTCCTGATGAAGTCCACACGGGATGGCGAAATGTCGAGAACCTCTTCTCGCTCTCATCGGCCGAAAAGCCCGAAAGACAATCATATGCTGAACAATGGCCGTGAAAGCCTTACACAATTTATGGAGGAGAAGGTTTGCTAAAATAAATTTGGAAGACCAAAATAACTATTCAACGCGAACGAAGTCAATAAGTGAAACAGTTTGATTAACAAATAAATAAGCTATTTCTCTTATATTTCAGATTATTCGAAGAGAACGAAGAACTACTACATCTGTTCGAGAAATTCCGTGAGCTTCGCACGAAAGAGGCGATCGTGAGTTCCGCTGAGTTGGCCGAACACGCCACCCAAGTGATGCACACTTTGGACGAGGGCATCAAAGGCTTGGCTGACATGGATTCGTTCTTTGCATATGTACGACATGTCGGAGGCACGCACCGGCAAGTTCCCGGGTTCCAGGCGGAAAACTTTTTGGTATAATTATTATTAAATTGACTATCATGTACTTCAGTAACATAGCTGCTGTTTACGCGAGTAAAACACTTTTAACCGTTTAAAACTCGAAATATTTTAGGTTACTCATTTTTATTTTATTTTAACGAAGACCCCGATCGACATTCGTTTCGTGGCGTCGGATCGTAGTTAAAATAAATTTAATATAAATTAACTAATATGTTCCGAGTTTTAAACCGTTAAAAGTGTTTTATGTAAATGTATTATCATTCATTCGCCTCTGTAGCAGTGGTTAAACGCAATGCGTTGAGCACGAGAGTTCTGGGTTGAAATGTGCGGAATTATTGTCAAATATCAAGGACGACAGTCTGTGGATTATATAAATATGGCATATAATAACTAATTTAGAGATTTTTGAAATGCTTTCGCAGAGATTTTGCAAAACTTGTGTTTTCGATATTCGAATATCGCCTGGTGACGTTATGCTTGTTGGCAAAACATCGTGAACCATGTCTTAATGAGACAGTGTAAAAAACCGAGTACCTTTTTAAATATAATTGTATCCCATTGTTTATATACGGCATATAACGACGTCATATCGTTGATGTCTTATTTTAATATTAGGGCGAAGAACACGATCCCCGTTTCGTAATTAGCAAATTAATGAGAATTATTAACATAATTAAATTCTCTTTATGAAGATTTCGACTTGATTGCTCTATAAGACGTACTACGCCCTTATTCGTTTACTGCTATTTTTAAATATTAATGCTTTGTGAAATATTTCAATTTTGAGAAAATCTAATGAATATTCTAGGACCTTTTATTATTTTATTATATTTATTTCTGCTATTTACGACATAAAACAGACATATTGCTGTGTCTGTTATTCCAACGGCGATTAGCTCAGACTTCTGTGAGCTGAGCGACTAAGATGGTGCAAATAAAAACGTTTTAACATTTCAACTTGCTCAACTACGCGGGCCTTGCCATGCCATGTCCAAAAATTACGGTCTACACACATCAATTGAACTTACATAAAACCTAATCTTAATGGATTGGATGGTACTTGAATGGTACATTTTATATTATATTTTGACACTTGTAACGTTTGAAAACAAAATGTAGCAGTTATCTTGTTTACAATTTATTTTAACAACGGCTCGACGTTTCGTATGCTCGTAGAATCCGTGGTCACAGGAGACGAACTGTAAATATTTTAATTTAATTGCAAATAAGTTTAATGATATATTACGCATTTTTAAACTGTTAAAAGTGCAATTTTAAATGTGTATTACTTGCGTAAACTGAAGAGTTAGAGATAGTACTTAGGAATGGGACGTTAAGGATATATTTATAGAACTTTTTTTGCAGAAAATAGAGCAGCCGTTTCTGGAAGCAGCGAAGACCACCCTAGGTGACCGATATACGCCCAACATTGAGAATATATACAAACTCACAATTAGGTTCATCCTAGAGAATCTTGTAAAAGGCTATGAAGACGCTGGCCAAGAGAAAGAAATGAGCACAATTTAATTCTTTTTAAATGAAGATCTAAATTGTAAGTTATATGTGTGTCTTATGAAAATCAACTTTCATTTTGTTTGTTTGTTTTATTATGCATATGTTTCTTTTATTTGACTATCTACTTAGTATTACTATTGCGTATTTGATACATCCGATTCAAATACAATATTTTAAATTAAATAAATATTTATTTTGTTTATAACTTGTGTTTTATTTAGACCTATACAAAAAATGATAATAAAGGCTCGAAGAGTACAATCTATTTGAAAAATAAAATTCAAAAGCTTATAAAACAATATATATATACTTAAGTATTCTGCATCCAAAACCGGTAGTTATTAAATTGCCTCAATTATTTTATTGAAACAAAACAAATGATGTCACTTTTAAATTGGTAGAACAATAACACGTAATGCTGTAGCGGTGGATTCAAAACCCGCCCTTTTTTTGAGAAAATTGTTATGTACATATTTAAATAAAGCACGTTAACGGTTTAAAACGCGAAAATTATTTTAACTACAGCCCGATGTTTCGGATGCTATGCAACGCCACCCGTGGTCACGGAGACGCTAGGGAGGGGAGTCTCCCCGTAACCACACGGCTGCTGCAAATTTAATCTTCAAATCAGTTTTAAACCGTTAAAATGTTTTATTAAAAGTTTACTCGCGTAAACTACAAACAGTAAAATAACAATTTCGTCAATAAGAGGGCGAATTTCGAACCCACGGATACAGCGTTTCGTGGTTCTACCTATTTCAAAGTAACATCATTTGTTCTGTTAAAATAATGAATTAATAATGTTTTTATCCATATATGCATTATGAGAAATATTTGATGTTCAACTTTAGTCCGTGGCACTGTAGATAGTGGAATTTGTGTTATAAATTTCGCTGCGCCTTTACAATCTGAAACTCAGTTGTGAGAGAAATTAATTATTAAACTTTCATGCGAAAGTGCACTAACAACAGCCCATTAGGCGCTTGCAGTGACAAATGGTGTGCAAAGTATCGATTATGTCTAAAAATAGTTTCCCCTGAGGGGAAATAAATATTTCCAATGATATTCCGTAATGCGTAAAACATGAGCTTTCATTAGACCGTAGCGTGCGTAAGGGACACAATATATGCTTGTTAAGATTTAGAATGTATTTAATATACTCAGATATATAACAAGCTAGAGACTCGCCCCGGCTTCGCTCAGGTGCAGAGCGGATACTAAATACACAATAGATGAACTGTGAACGTTGAATTTAAAAACCTTCCTCTCGAATTACTCCATCTATTAAAAAAAATTGCATCAAATCCGTTGCGTAGTTTTAGAGATTAAAGCGTACATAGGGACAGAAAAAGCGACTTTGTTTTATGCTATTTAGTGATAAAGGTGGAAAGTATGTTTCAACTATTCACGATAATATTAAAATCTATACCAATATTAATTGAAGAAAGTGTCTATTTGTTCTTCCTGCACATCCTAACTTAGTAACATCACATTATTTTGGCATAAAAATAAGTTCCGTTTCCCAACGTCGGTCGTGGGCGAACCCATTGTTGTGCATGTTGTTCGTTTTTTTTCTATTGAAAATTTATACGAAAAAGCCAAACTTATTAGGTCTTTATAAGCTAATCTTAAAAGAGTTTTTAAGAAAAAGTAAAACAAAAGTTCTAAGTCAGCACGTTTCAAAGGGTGGAAATAACGTGACATTATGGTTAGTCATAATAATAAGTTTATGTGGCTTTGCTAAGTAAACCTACCAATTAATTTGATGATTACACTATGTTCCCACAGGTGGGACTCAGGCCTCTTACATAAGGGTTACCTTCCTGGTTCTGAAAAGCTCATGTTGGAATAAACAAATATCTACTTATAACAATTTTGTAGATGCAAGGAGCAAAGAAATTTAAACTCAACAACAAAAGAAGTATTTCTATCGACACGGCTCTTAAGAGCTAAATATACTATTTATAATACATATATTGTATTATAACAATCATTAATGTATGTACATAATAGGTCATTTAGCTGCGACGTATTAACATAGTAAACCATATTTTTCATAATAATTTATAACTAATGGAAAAGAAAAATTAACAGCCTGAAAAACAATGATGTGCTGAACGATGGCCGTGATAGCCTTACTCATTTTATGAAAAAAATATTATTTCTAAAAAATATATTGGATGTTACAAATCAAATTATGTACAATTTTGGCTTTATTATATTATTAAATCTATTTTAAGCATTAGACGCTGTGCTTAGTGGGTATTCCCTTTCAGTACTGGCGTAATTTAAAAAATACAATTTTATTTAAGATGAAAAGTTTGTGTTAATAATAGGGTCAAGTTAAATATATCGTCACTCAGCGCGGAGGTGGCTGTGAAAATATTGTTTTTTAAGATTAACTCGGCAGAGACACGGACAGAATATTAACTTTATATTTTCCTTGAGAAAATTGGATCCGGTTATCTTTGAACATTGTTTGTAAGTGATAACGACTTAAGTTTTGTTATTTCGACAATAACTTTGATGTCTGTATGAGAGCAATAATTATATAGAACTTAAAATGTTTTAAAAGAGTTTGGTACCGTTTAAAGATTTTATTTTTGATAATAAAATCAAGACTATGAATGACATTGAAAAAGTAAAGATAGGTGTCAAAAAGGGCGGCTAAATTTGATAAAATTAAAACGGGTAAAAGTGGTAATTTCCGCTCAAGGCCTACAATTTGAGAATTCAATTAAGGAAGTAAAAGCTAGATTATAGCCACCTTTATTATTTATCTATACTTTACTAATATTATAAAGATGAAGATTTTGTTTTGTTGCAATGCTGTAATCTTAGGAACTACCGGTTCGAGTGAAAATCTTTTAGGCTGTTACATCACGCTGCGACCAGTAGAAGCGAAGAAACAGAGGATCATAGGAGAACATTTTATTCAGGTTTTTGTTGCGTGCGCTGCGGAAACGGTTCAAGATACCCGAAAACTATGTAGGTAAGAATGATTCCTTATTTAAAACAATGTCCGCGACAGTATGTGTTTATCTTTTAAGAGTAACTTGCAAGAACTTGCGCGAACGACGCCCTGGGTAATTAAGCAGTTTTGTAAAACCAAAATTACAAATCTACGCGGACGAAGTAGTGGGAACAGCATGTGTATTTTATAACGCTCTAAAAACTAGGCTATATTAAAAACTATGTTATCGGTTTTTAGATTATTGGATCATCAATCTTGTGTACACACTTTATTGAAGCTGTTGACCTATATCGAAGCGTGACGTTAGGTAAGTTTTTCCCGCTAAAACGATCGGACTTTGGGGACAATTTATTTTTCTACTAAAGTGCTGTCATGTGGCCAGGTATATTGTTAAGGTGTAAGAGAAAAAGGTTCTATATAAAAGATTAATGCTTTATGGTCACTCATCGTTTTTATTTACGTTAAATTAGTAAATTAGACTTCTGTGCCCTGTCCAACCAAAATCATTTATTGTTATCCCGAGCTTCGAAATTAGGCTTTCTCGCACTTCATCCAATGTTTTGAAACATGCTTAACTATTTAGTTACTAAGGCAGTTATATACTTAGTTTATAGAGAAATACTTAGTACGTTGACTAAAATTAGAACTTAAATTTATCTCTTGGTGTATACACATTAATCTCCGAAAATACTGCTCAGAACAGCGGTTTTCACTATAGCACAGTTTAAAAATACAAAAATGCTTAATTTCATTAAAGGCTGGCGTTAAAACATCAAAAAACTGTGTTATAGTTGTAGTGTCATAAAGATTTTTGTAAATTTTAACAAATTAAGCCCCTTTAAAAATGAAACTGTTTTAAAATTAGGTACAACCTTTCAAGGTATAATTTAGGATGCTATCAGGAAAGATTATATTGGTACCATGAAGAATATTAAATTTGAGTTTCTTTTAGATCAGCAGTCATTTTTGCTGGTACAGCTGTCATAAGCCACAGAAATTGATTAGTAATCTACTGTTCGTATAACTCTCTTGTTTTCTTAGCGATGTGCAGTTGACCGCAGTACCTACATGGAGTCCCAGGTTCGAGCAATACGTTAGCATTGATATATTTTTAAATGGAAATTTTCATTACCTTCTTGTCTCGGTGAGCCGTCGGTCTCTACAAGCAAAACTAATTTAGCAAGAGTCGTTAGCCTACCAGGAAATACGAAAACAGAGAAATGCATTTTATATTCGCCTATAATTTTAATAAAAATTTACAAATATAATCAAATAATTAACAATTTTTAATTTGAATAAAACACTTTTAACATTTAAATTACATTCCATAAAAGTGTACTACAGTCTTCCCGTGACCACGGCTGATGCAATGCATCCGAAACGTCGGGCCGTTGTTAAAATAAAGTTAAAATAAGTTTAACTAATATATTTCGAGTTTTAAAGCGTTTTTTATTTAAACACGAACTACACGCGGAAACTGCAGACACTATTTAATTCTTTAATTGGTTTATGTTATTCCACAAATATATTTTAATCAACGCAAAGATCTTTCTCTCTTGATATTTAACGCGAGATTATAATTAAAAAAAAACATATTACGCGATAAACAAGGTCTATCCTAAGCAAACACAGGTGAAACTTTACTGAGCTTCAAATCGGATTACAAATTTTTGAACGCAATTTACAAATCTTATTACGCCGTGTATATTCATTAAAAGTTATTTTACAGTTGAGTTGTTTTGAAAGAGCCAATGTTGAGAATAATATTATCGCACAGTGCAGCGTTTCATGTACGAGTTCATTACAATCTATACAGATATTATACAACTGAAGAGTTTGTTTGTTTATACGCGCAAATTTCAAAAACTACCGGTTCGTATTCAAACATTCTTTTTGTGTCGATTAGACCATTTATCAACGAAGGCTGCGACTAGCAGGAGTGAAAAAACATAGAGGTATATGGACAAAGTGGGAAAATTTTGAGGACTTCTGTTGGGTACGCTGTGAAAGAGGGTTCAAGATACCCAAAAAATATCTCAAACAGAATAATTTCTCATTAAATGAGTAAAAACGTATGTCAGTGACAGTATATGTTTATATTTTTAAATTAACTCGCAAGAACTACACGACGGGACGCAGATGACGCGCGTCGTGGGTTACAGCAATAATTAATAAAAATGAAGAGGTTTTAACAAAACGAATTTTCATGATCAAACTATTCCACGCGGGCGAAGTCGCTGGCACAGCTAATCTGATATAATAACTCTGGCGGCTCGATTTTTCGCTTAAAAGGGATTCCCGATCCAAACTTGATTGATGTAAAATTTCCTTTTTGTATCGACTTATGAATGTCTAACTTTTGGGCTTTATTGAGAGGTTTTTAAGAGCACGCTTCTCCATTGCGGGTTGCCTTAGCGACTATCACCACTAAGCACAAAATAAACTTAAACTTAGTAAGAATTTCCTAAAATTGTATTCCGTCTAAATAAATTTAAATAAATAACATTTCCTTCTTTAAAATTCATTTCCTAAAGTGCTAAAGGGTAAAAGATTATAAAGCGTCTCTAGTGGACATTACATTTTGCCGACTAAAGACCTATAAGCAAAAAGAACCTCTAGAGGCCACAACACAGATTAATTTATCAATTGTTTATCTCCGACAGCCTCGCTTGAACCAATTCAATTTGCGACTGATTGTAGAGGCTCTTAATATTGGAATCTGGTAATCCATAGATTTGATTGGTATTCCACTATAAGTGGGATTTTATGAGTTGCACTCAGATTAACTTAGTTACGGTTTACAGAGGGCTTTTATAAATATTCCTGAAATGAAAATCGTTTTTGGCATTCTAGTTTTATTATATATTTTTCTATATATTGCTAGAAGTATAATTTTCAAGGAGGAAACATTGTATAAGCAAACCTTATCTATACATAATAGATAACTTTTAGATAATTACTGGTGTGAAATCAAGTTTACCACGTTAGGCATGAGGTATACATATCACAGGCCATTATTATCATTTTCATAAAACACTTTAACGGTTTAAAACGCGATGTATTAGTTAAACTTATTTGAAAATGATGTTTACTTAGGCCCGACGTTTTGCCGCATCTTTTAGCCGTGGTCTCCCTCTGACTAAAAGTTACGAAACGTCGGGCCGAAGTTAAAAATCATTTTCAAATAAATGTAACTAATATATCGCGTTTTAAACCGTTAAAAGTGTTTTATTTAAATGTGTACTACTCGCGTAAACTATAGACAGTTATAAAATCCTACATATTTACGAATTACGGACTTAAACTATGTATGGGGAATTTATTAAAATTAATGTAACAAATATGCAGCATACATTTTTATATTTTGTACATTTCTGTGGTATGAAAGTTTCTCTTTAACGGCGCCAAATATTACATTGCTTCAGGCTTGGATCGTTGACCTATTTCCTTTCCTGTAAGAAATCTGCTGAAAATACTTCACGAAACGGGGAATTTTTACCGATTAAGCTGATTTTTTTATACTTGTTTTGAACTTTAGAGCATCTACTATGCCCCGGTTTCGAATTTTGAAATCTTATGTACAATGTCAAGGGATGCATAACATTTAACTATTTTTATGTTTTTTTATCGAAAATATTGTGTTTACTAAAATGTTCTATAATTTAACTTCTAATTCTCAGACCATGTCGTTTTCATCTGTACCTCCGTGTCAGTGACGCTGAAAAAAAACTCAGTAGATTTGGACTGTGTTTTATAACATACGTTTTTTATGTAATTATTTCTAAATTCTAAACCATATGTTGAACAAATATCCTCTCGATTGTTACGTTTTTAAGCCCAACAGTGGAAAGTTTAACGGAGTGGACGGTAATTCAAAATCGGCGCTGTAAAATATTGTAGGTACAGCACAAACTGAGTGGATAAATATTTGAAAACATTAATAACTTATTATGTAAAAAAATCAATTGTAGAAATTAAATAGCGCAATGTGCTTGTATCAATTGGTTGAAAAAATTCGACGGTGACGTGTAGGACAAAGTAGCTCAATTGGTTAAGGCAAGCTGTGGGTAACGATTCAAGTCCTGCCCGAGTTGTTGAATTTTTTAAATCTTAAATCCATTTTTATCAATAGGTAATCATTTTTCAATTGTTTATTATTGTTGTTCTGGGAACACGTGTTTATATAACATTGAGTTTCTTGCCAGTTCTTCTCATTCGTTCTACGTCCTTGATTTGAGAACTTGTAATAAATCGAAACTTAGATTATTTAGTTTTGTGCCGTTCATAAGTGTACCTACATGAATAAATGATTTTTTTACAGTTTGATAGTATGCAAAAACTAATGTACTACGTGTTTCTTAGTTATGATGGCCCGAAACGACAAATATGTGATATATAACGCTGTATTACATCCTTACGTCTAGAAAATCTGATGAATGATAATATGAAAAGAATTTCAAAGGTTTTCTTTTCCAACTATGATGGAACAAATCTATTCTGAACACGTATTCGCTTCAACGTTTGTGCAAAGTTTCGCCACAGTTTAATTTATGTAGTTGGTATACACATTGTAAGCATTCAAACTTTATAACGAATATTTATTAAAAAATTTAAGATACGAAATGTGACTGTTCTAAATATTTAAATAAAACACTTTAACGGTTTAAATTTTGTAATTTGTAAATGCAAGGTTCCTAGATAGAGCCAAATTGAGCTCGGAATTCGCGAACGCGTGCACGGGACACTAACACTGAACGCTAGCAGCGGCTCCTGACACAGCGAGATAGACCACGGTCGTTAACAGCGAGGACGCTCAATACATTTTTTTTTCTAATTAAGTGATTCATGGTCGTTTTAAATAGCATCCTTATAATTTAAATATCTCTACTTATTTATGTCTACCCGTGCGAAGCCGGGACAGGGCCGCTAGTATAATATATAAAACTTTGTTATATGAATGTTATCTACGCATTTACCAAAAAAAAAAAAAACTATAAAATGCACAGCCAATAATGCAGATATACATCTCTCAATAAACCCGTGTCACAAACCAACTAGATAATATCTTGTCAATTTACGAGTAACAATGGCGAACTTTTCATTCGGCTTCGACGAGCGTGATTATAAAACACTCTTACAACAATTATTCGCCGAATTTATTGGGACATTTTTATATCTCTCTATCGCGTTACTAGCTGGGACATTCGATACAAGTTTAGTGACGGTAGCACTTGCAAATGGGCTCTTGGTGGCATCGGTTGTGCAAATCATCGGAAGTATATCTGGTGGGCACATAAATCCGGCTGTAACTCTCGGCGTCTTGGTTTATGGCGATATAAAACCTGTGAAGGCTGTTCTGTACATTGTCGTACAGATATTAGGCGCCATCTTGGGATCCGCTGTTGCGTATGCGCTTACGGAGTCAGAATTTAGGGGTAATCTTGGAGCTATAGTCCCTGGAGTGGTGAGAGTAGACCAAGCTTTTGGACTGGAAGTTCTTATGACGCTCGTACTGGTGGCTGTAGTTATTAGTGTGAACCGGAAGAATAGAAGGTCTGGCTCTTCTGCACTAACCGTCGGCTTAAGTATTACAGCCTGCCAATGTTCCGCTATGTTTTACACTGGATCTTTGAGCCCAGTTAGATCTTTAGGACCAGCCGTTTTAATGAATATTTGGACCCACCACTGGGTATATTGGGTAGGCCCAATGCTTGGTGGCGTTCTTGCTGGAGTAACCTGTCGCTATTTGTTTAAAATTAATGTTCAAAATGACGAAGCTTGAAGTGTAAGTTTCCGACGTTTTACTTTTACTAATTTTCGTCAAGAATTCTTAATTAAATTTGTAATGTGTCTACAAAGTACCTCGTAATACTAACTCAATTCAATACCTAAGGAGTTAAGTGTGTCTAGACTTACACCCTTGTCTCGACAAATGAGTTAAATGCCAAATAAAACTTCGGGAAATAAAGTCTTGGAGAAACTAATATCGTTTTATTTTTAATATATAGTTTAGATAACTTATTAAGCTTGACATACAATATTCATTTATATTAACAACCGCTGTGGCACAGCAGTTGTGGTCACGTGACCGCAAATTACACGTATAGTGAGTAGACTGTACAAATATACCTAAATGTCAGGATTAAACTGCCTAATACAGAATACATATATTAAAACTTATTAGATATATATTAATACAAAATTTGTACCATAGACTATATACACATTTTGAACTATTAAGTGAAAAGCTAGATTTCAATTAAATTCGAATTATTGTCATTTATCTTTTACTATCCTTAATCTTTTAATATAAGCCAGATAGCTTAGCTAATGTAAACCGAAAAACGTAGACTATTCCTTATACCTATGGCATGATGCCATCGTATTTTGAATCTGTTTTATTTATTTATCTATTAAAAACCAATCACACATCTTTACAGAATATGAATTCTAACATGATAGTAAGTAACAATTAAAATTTAAATATATCTTTTAGATCATATACTATATCATACTACTACATATACGTTATTGTCCTTATGACATCGCTCACCGTGCAATTATAAATGTCTATTTTACAAGTGAGCTGACTTTTACTTGAGTCAGCGACGGTTCGGGTACGTGAACAGGAGCACTACCGCCACCGCTTCGTCAACATCGAGTCTCGCTGGTTCTATATAAATATATTTTGCAAATTCTTTCGCACATTTAGAATTCGATAACTGACGATTTTTTTTGCTCCGATATATTTCCAAAAAGATTTAGGGTATTTAATTAAATTGTTTTGAATTCGTTGTTCGTATATCTGGAATGTCTTTTTTTTACATTAGCCTTAACTCTCTTTCGACAAACTGCAAAAGCGTTATAATACGTACGTTATAATAGACTTAATTTATATTGTCTGTGTGTAAGGCTAAGTTGCCTTAAGCCTTATATCATTAATAATATCGGTCGTATATTATTCGGGATAGCTATATTTATGACATTTCGCGTAAGACTTTCTAGGCACATGCTTATCTAGACTGGTTTTCAAAATATCATATAAAACTGCGAGGGCATCCTCCGGGTTCCGCATATTATAAACGCCACCCCAATGGACGAAACTCAGTGAGCGAAATAATGAAACAAAATCTGCTTTATAGGAATTCCAAGATAATTTACTCTTACCTGCAGACGTGCTACTTTCCCAGTTATGCAAAGCGTCCCATTCTATCCTGGTACAGCGGGGGTAGTGCAGCTTAATCATGAATGGGTCCACCGGCACCAAGGGCTCGTCCGCCTCCTTCACCGACACTTTATCCCACCAGTATGACGAGCACAACACCAACAACTTATTAAACTGAGCGAAATGACAATAAGATTTTAAATGATTTCTAACAACTTCACTAGTAGAATACAAATTAAAATCGCCTAACAATAATACTTTTTCGTATTTTAAACACAGTCGTTCTAATAAATTTAAGCATAACATATATTCGTTCTCACTGATTTTAGGAGGTAGATATACTACGCACCACAATAACAATAATTTGTCATTTGAGTAAACGGTCGCACAGACTAGTTCGAACGAGTGGCGATCTACCGTGGCGTCTTCTAGTTCGCATCGGCTCACTATTCGTATTCGTAAATCGCGCGCGGCCACTAGAAATGCACCGCCGTGTTTACGTCCGTGTACGGTGGCACTAAATAATTTGGTACCCTGCCGGTATAATTTCGCCGTCCATTATCGAGTCGTTTAATCCAGTTTCCGTAATAGTAATGATATCAGCTCCTAAATATTCTATGTTGCTACAAAAACTGTTCAACTTAGTTCGAAGGCCCCTGGCATTCTGATAATAGATCGTTAAATGTGTATTATTCTTCAGTTGATTTGCTTTTTGGTTTACGAAACCAATAGCACTGAGAAAACTGCACGAATGAGCCAAACTTCCGGCTGGCATAATTTCTGATACACTGATTCTGAAGCGGTGATAATAAAAGAAGAATAGCGTTTTGTTTTAGTTTAATAATCTTTGTATCAATATTAGATCTACAATTTTTTTGTACATAAGTGGTTAGCTGATCCACTGTGGTATCAGTTTTCAATCGCCAAAAATGTAGATGCTTATTTTTTAAGAAGCCTGAATCTCAAGCATATTGCAATTCTTTCCTCGCATTATATCTGCCGATTCTAACCTTCAGACTTTTTCTTGGGAAATATTTTTCTTATTACTATGTCCTACCTCTACGGTCCCCAGATCCACCGATTGCATTTGCGGTTTTTTAACTAGTCGCGTTTTGATTGTCGCTCAGCTGATTGTCGTAGTTTTCGTGGCCTGGAGTTTTAAGCAATTTTAGCAAATGATGGTTTTGGTATATTTTCTATCCGCTCATCCGACGTATCCTCGGTACGAGTAGACTGCACATTATTTACATTGAGAGCACGATTGATATTTCCACTATTCTTTTTATCACTTTGTTCAACTACCGACATATACTTCGTTTTCATTTTGTGCAATTCCGATTTCAGGCGAATACACAAATCTTGAAGATCCATAATAACTCTTGTCTGCATGTCCATTTTCCTGAAAACTTGGTTTTTAAAGGTTCGGAGTTTTAAAGCATAATCGTAATCACAATTTATGAGAAGGATGCTTGCAGATGGGATCCTCTCAGCGCATTAAGTTCAGAACGAGTAGTTTTTTTCACACCCTTGCGTTACACATGGGCTATTTGGCTCCTTTAAACTACCTAAATCACTGAATTTGACAAATTTTAGGCATTTTTACTAATTTATTTAATCGTCCTTATTTCTAGCAGGCCGGTATGAGATGCGCCCACAGACTTTAAATATTAATTCAAGTTTCCCATACTTAAAACTCTTCGTGGTAACAAACTCAATGCATTTTAAAATTATATGTCACGTCGCTTCACTATGAAATCGAAATATGTATACAAAAATTCCGTGTACAGACAGAAGATATCGCAACGAAAGAAACAAGATATATATATAGACTGAAAAAACAATGACTTAGGCGAGTTATAAATCCACAAATATACATCGGCGTTACTCTATCAACTCTCTCTTCATGTTATAGTCTGTCTCAAACACTTTGTTGTATTTAACATCGCCGTTGGATATATGAATCGAAATCCGGAAACCCCAATCTTTTCCTTTTCATTAATAAACGTTCGTGATAATTAAATAGCATTGATTGATCGCGCACTCTCTTAATTGAACAATCGTAAAATTACGATAGAAAAACAGTTGCGCGTAAATAATGGGACGACCTTTCAACTTTTAATGAAGGGTGCTACAGAATATCAAGTTGCTTTTACACTTTTTTATCGTCAACAGTTAATTCTTTTACGACGGAGGTTTATTTTTCTCTGTTCTTTTAAAGACGACTTTAACATTTAATGGAAATTTGTAAAAGGTGAGTACAATAAAGATAACGATAAAATATATCAACTTCAAGTTATTTTGCACATAATAATAAATATAATGATTGATCAATCAAATCTTTCAATTATAAGCAATCAATCAAAATCAATGGAAAGCTTTCTTAAACCAAATTCATGTTTGTTCTAAACTCAATATAAAAGGAACTTATTCTGTTTTATTATTATTATAGACAACCACGATGGATTAATATATTCTAATACTAATCATACTCATCTATACTAATATATAAAGCTGAAGAGTTTGTTTGTCTATCTTTTGAGATTAACTTGTAAGGTCGATGGGAAGGGACGCGACCGACGTCGTGGGTAAAAGCTTAAGTTTCTATAGATAAAGGGGTTTGCAAAAACGAATTTGGATGCCCAAAATAAATATTCTTAGCGGAGGCTAGACGCTGGCGCAGCTAGGTATTATAGATGTATACTTATAGTAATATTATTAAATGAAGAACTTAAGAATTTTTAAAAGGGACATCTCTTAACAAGTACTATTTACACATTCCAACTCATGAAATCGCGAAAACTTGTCGCTTTTATTTGCTAGATGTCACTTAAAATGTTTCAGGATTCGTTTCGAGTCCAGTGTCAAATACGTACAAAAGTCAAGCTGAAAACTAACAGCTGTCAAGACAAACTGACGTCATTGTGAAACCTGTGACGTCAACACTTAACAACAACAATCAATAAATGTTTCAGTTTTCTTTGCTTTTATTTCAGTCGTGTATTTAGATTTCTTAAGTTCACGTTAAGTTTAGTATTGTTATTTTCTCTGCATCAATTTGGAACTCAAATTCTGCAATAATGTATATCTAGGTACTAAAAAACCAAACTAAACACGATGGAAACTGCCTATTATGAAGATGAGATACCCATCTGGCAAGAGCCGCGATGCGAGCCTTTAGGAGCCCCGAAAGAAAACCTCTGTGATGAAGAACCCCCCGACCAGAATTCTGGTGATCGCATACATGCCCTAGAAGAGGAGCAGGAAATTCTGTCATCATCTGTCTTCTCATTATCGTCACATCTTGCACAAGTTGAATTTCGTTTACGACAAATATTGAAAGCTCCTCCAGAAGAGAAAGATGCAATGCTTCAAGCTCTCGAAGAGTTCACCTCCCGAGCAGTCGATTCAAGGGCAGCGCCTCAAGGTCGTGAAGGTGAAGTTGCGTGTGTTGAATGTGTCGAACTGGAAAGAAAAATACATACTCAAAGGGCCAAACAAGCAAGATTCATTGAACGACTAAAACTCCAGTTAAAGGAATTAGAACTATTTGCAGCTGATTCTTCCAAGCATGACGATATAAAACATAGATCACTAATAGAACATCTACAAAAAGAAATCGATCGGAGTCTAGAAGAAGGCTGTCACCAGCCTCTGACGTCCGATGAGTTAAGACATCAAATTGACTGTGCTGTCCGACAATATGCTGATAAACAACTCTCTAAAGATGAAATTATTAGTAAACTACAGACTCACATAGATGATATGCAAAAGTTTATAAAACTAATGAAAAATGATGACCTAAACAGACCACAAACCAGCAAATCAGAACCAAAAAAGCTTGGTAAACACAGTGCATTTGATAAAAACTTTAGTAAAAATAAAGTAAATGATGAACTTAAAGCCGAGACAATTAATTTAATGAGAAAAGCGTCTACATTGATACAAATATTTACTGTATCTCAATTTGGATGTTCACCAAATCCCAATAAAAGATATGATAGGAAAACAACTTTAGTCACACATTGGGGCAACTTGAGAGCTAAGTTGGAAATGTCAATAGACGCAGTTCTCCACATGGTATCTAGAGAAAGATTATCCCACTCTTTAATTGATAGCTACGATAGTGAATCTGAAGAAGGTGCTATAGTTATAAATGATGCTCCATTAACAACTGCAGTGAGGCGGCACCTGGCTGTTAATCTGAGAGACCTCCTGCAGCATGGGCTAATTGGTCAAGAAACTACATCTCTGGTGCCTATTATAGGTTGCTTTCCTGTAAGAAGGTCATCTACATCACAAAACTTACATATATGGGAAGTCATTCTAAGGTACTATGATTTAAATGATGGTGATAGATTTAACTCTACCCCAGCTAGAAAATTAAGTCAAAGCTTTAATTTAGATATAGTTGGAGGTACAGCGATCACAAATAGGCAGAGTTTACTAAGTGCCATAGGCAGTATATTGGCATCGCACACTCCATACAAAAGGAGTTATGATGCTCATTTTAAAGCTTTTGTTTGTGCAGCTCTCAATGCACATAAGCTTGTTATATGGTTGAACATTATGCTAAAATGTAGGTCACTAATTGATTCTTACTACTCGTCAACTAGTTATGTTGTTAATACTGGTTTCCAAGATGCCTTACAAAGCCTTGACCGATTAACTCCATATAACTTTGACCTGCCCGTTGATCTTGCAGTAAAACAATTTCAAAATATTAAAGATGTATTTATGTAATACCTGTTAGTTGTATGTTTTCCTTGTCTATATCTCAGATGCTTTTAAATACACAAAATTTCTAGTCCGACACTGTAAGTAATAATAGCACTGTTTAGTTAAAAATTGCTTTCTTAAAAGGCCTATTTAAATATGTCAAGTAAATTTTATATTTTTAGATTTATGGACATATAGGATGTTCTATGCATTCCATAGACAATATTGTACTTTATATAATTTATTGTGGTTATGTGATATATTTAGTTGTAATTGCTCTCTATTGCATTATTGACTTGCATCCTTCAATATATTCTTATATAGTTATATATTGGCACATAAGATGACGTGTACACCTACAGTACCTTATTTAGATTACCTCAATAGCATTGCAAATTTAAACTTTGATTTATTACAATAATTATTATGTTTAAGCTTAGTTAAGTATGAACCAAAGTGTATTTCTAGTCTTTACTTATACCAAAAATTGTATAATTATATCAGAATTCATGTTTGTCATAGAAATCAATATATTGTTGTAATGCAGTACATTTTGTTTTATTTCACATTTTGGTGTTTAAATATATTTGGGCAGCACCATAAAACAAGATAAGACTTAAGACAAGGATAGGTAAGAGATAAAATTATAAAGAAAAATAATAATACATCATCACATGGTGTATTGCTAGAACATTGTAAAATAAATAACATACAATAAACATACAAATCAATGTTTGCAGAAACTTGAACAATTTTCTTGATAACACAGATATTTGGCAATATATTTACAACAATCTTCGTTAAGATACGAACCGACGTCATCATCTGATGTTAAACATGAAAGAAAATAATTATAAATATACACACTTTGTAAATATGTTTACTTCAATATGTTTCTTCCATTGATTTATTTATTACATAAAATTGCAAATAAATTATTATATTACTGATTTATTTTAAGAAAATTTCCATGGCCATATTCAAGACAGTAGTTGATGGCTTGTTATATTTTACACTGAACATTTAAACCTTTATTTTGCTTTGAAACTTTCATGTTTTTAGATCATATTTAGCTCTTGATCTTAAAGATACAATAATCGGTTACCTAGGACACAAATTTACAAAACACATTTTCTGGACATACATGTATGTGGGGTTTATTCGGTTTTACTTGGGTCCCAACATATCTTCTGGTCGGACCCACTTGTCAAATTGTTCAGCGGTTAGGATTCCTAGCTTAATAGCTGTGTCCTTAAGTGTACCACCTTCTTTGTGCGCTGTCTTTGCTATCTGGGCAGCCTGAAAATAAAAATGATAGAACACGTGAGTAAGTTATGCGTTACCTAGAATTAAGTATGAAAAGTTCCGAGTTCGGTTTCCAGAAAAATATATAGAGTATTAGATACTGTTTGTATTTAACGCGAGTAGTGCACATTTAATACACTTTAACGGTTTAAAACGAGAAATTTATTACTAAAAATATTTTTCATTTATTTTAACTATGGCCCTAAGTTTTGGAGACAGGCATAAAAGCAGGATCACATCAGTGGGACGGCCACAGAAATGTGTCTGCGCCGTGCCCCACAAGAGTTTCACCAACACTGAACTACTTATTAATGCAAATTGTAGACCATATGGTTCAAAGTACTATTACATACAATAAGAAATATATAATAGTGATCCTATACCTTATCATAACCTATATGAGGATTGAGAGCTGTAACCAACATGAGAGACTCCTTCATGATTTTGTCAATTTGAGCAGTGTTCGCCTGGATACCCACTGCACAATTCTTGTTGAATGCTTGGCAGCCGTCACCTGGACATAAACAATTGTCAACAAATGGTTTACAATACGTATGTTTATGTAGTACTTTCAGTAAAGTATTTTAATAACAGAATTTTTAATACATTCATCTAGAGTAGAGACAACAGTTATGAAAACTGGTTTTATCATATAGCTAAATCACATTATTTATATACATTTTTGTGTTTAAATACTGTCTATAGTTTACGCGAGTAGTACACGTTTTAATAAAACAATTGAGCTACCATTGTATTATTTTATTGAAATGTTTACTATGCGTAACTTATAGGCGATACCTACGTAAATACGACGTACATCAAGTAAGTTTTATCTTATGTTACTTACCCAGCAATCTAATGGAACGTAAGACGTTCGCTACCATCATGGGCTTGAACACGTTGAGCTCAAAATGTCCGTTGCTACCGCCAACCGTGCACGCCACATGGTTACCCATAACCTGGGCGGCGATCATAGTTAGCGCCTCGCACTGGGTGGGATTGACTTTGCCTAGAATAAATGAATACGTCATTTAATTTATCTTTGCATATTTAAATTGTTCCTGTATAATATTGTGGCAGATAAAAGAAACTAGCTGATAGTAATTGTATGTGGGTGTAGACTGTACTGTATGGGTATTTAGAATTTTAGATTATTCAATTTTAAATTAATTGTAATTTCATGTAAAATTCACTTTTCACAGTGTGCAAACTCGTCCAAAATGGCTCAACTGATTTATTGAATTTCATATATACATTTGATAGGACTGGGAAAAGGTTTTACATATTATATTAATAATCGGTTCGCAGATGTTACAAGACAATTTAATATACCAGATTTAAGTAAATATTGAGGTAGGTCAGGAAAAGGTTTATCAATCACACTGTATAAAATCTATGATCGAATCAAGTGTTAAGATTTTGATGAATCTCATACCTGGCATAATAGATGATCCAGGTTCGTTTTCTGGGAGCAACAGTTCAGCGAGACCACAACGGGGACCAGAGGCCAGCAGACGGATGTCATTTACGATCTGTAATAATACAATTTAAACAATATATCTTGTAACAACAAATATACAATAGCTTTCTGTGCATGGAGTATTATTTATTATATTTAGAATTCTTCCTCTTGTATGTGGAAATAAATCTTTGACCAAATCCTCTATTTAGTTAAGTTTTTAATTAGTATGAGTGTTACTAAGAATTTGTATTGTCTATAAAACCCATTTTTAATTATGTCTACCTTTTACGCACACGATGCCACCACATAGATTAAAAATCGAAAAATAATTGTACTTGGTAGCTTAATTGGTACGATGCCGGTTCAAGTCCTGACCGAGTCGAAAATTTTTCAATTTCTTTTCGATTTTTAATTTACGTCTTCCTTTAAAGGCTCCTTATAAATAATCTTACTTTCATTAATGACACAGCGATTGTGTTCAGAGCTCCAGAGACTTCTACCATTGCATCGTGGCAGGCGAGCGCCTCAAACTTGTTTGGAGCCGACTCGAATGGAATACCTATGTAGAATTTAGAAAAAAAACGTGTCAACTAAGACTATTTAAGTACAGAAGTATACAAAATTATAAACATTTCTTCTCAGAAATGTTCAGTTATGTATGAAAAATATAGGATTTCTGTCTCAGTGAATATGTGATCCATATTTATTTATGTACAAACTCAACAAGAGACTTACAAATGCAGCTATGTATAGTTGAAATAAATTACAGTATGGTAAATTAAGTTTATAGTAACTCTTAGTAAATAAGCAAGGTTTTTTTATGATAGAAGAAACGAGAGAAGCATAGGGTTCCCTTGATGATAGATAAAACCGTGTAACATTTGAGCGAGCTGGGCTATCGACGTATTTTGTCTTTGGATATTCAAAAATCCACGGACAGAACCTATGTCCAGATTTCCAGACATCCAACATGTTCCAGAAAAATTATAAGCTCAGTGGATTTAATGCATGGAAGATCAAACGCGCGACCTGTTGATTGTTAGCCATAAATTGCTATTATTACATCAACCGTTTGCTGATGGTTATCTGATAAAATCCCGCCAATATTAAAAAAAGTAGTTCTCACCTGTAAGATTAGCAATCTCCTTGGCACATTTCTCAGCGAATCCAATACGGGTGTTTAGACCAGTTCCAACTGCAGTCCCGCCCAAAGCCAAGTAGTGAAGACGCGGCAAGGTGGTGCAAACTCGTTCAATGCCATAAGTTAATTGAGTCGCATACGCACTGAATTCCTGACCAAGGGTCAGGGGAACGGCGTCCATCAGGTGGGTTCTGGGGAAAAAGTAATTGAAAATTATAAGTCTTTGTCAAGATTACTAAAACAGACACAGTAATGTGTTCACCCCATGCCTGACAAGAGGAAACAAGATTTTTCAATTTTTATAATTTTTCAATCTACCTGCCAATCTTGATGATCTTATCAAATTCCTTAGACTTTGCTGCTAGGGTGTCTCTCAACACAACCAATCCTGGCATAAGTCTATCCCTTAGTTCCATAGCGACTGCAATATGCATAGCTGTAGGATAAGTGTCGTTTGAACTCTGGGACTTGTTCACATGATCATTTGGATGTACGGGATCTTTGCTGCCAAGTTTTCCTCCGAGAATTTGAATGGCTCGGTTAGCAATTACCTGTAAGTAAAATTAAACATAAAAATCCCAAGTTCCGCTGGGTATAGAATATAGGGGGTAAAATTATTTTATGAAATGGACATAAATTTGTGTCACTTTATTTGGTGAATTATTATTTTTTGTAATGTAGATAATAAGCCAATCAAAACGGTTATTTTTCCCAAGGATCTAATCCAGGACAAAATATGAGGACCATGAGATCAGATAAGGTTTAGTGCTTGAGAAAAAATTGTATCAGAAATACTAAGGTCTTCTGAGTCTTCAGTCACATATATTTGTTACCAAAAAGTGATACAAAAGAACAATATTATGTTGTTTCTAGAAAAATACATTTTATACAAACCTCATTTGTGTTCATGTTACTTTGAGTACCAGAACCAGTCTGCCAGATAACAAGTGGGAAATGACCTTCACGGTACAATTTGCCAGAGATCACATCATCGCAAGCCTGCATTATAGCGTCCGCTGAAATTCAAGATTATAATAGTATAATTACACCTATATAAAAGTATTGGTGTCCTTTATGGCCTTTTTTATCAAAAAATTATGTTGTCCTTATAATTTAGGTATTCGCGGGAATAGGCTATTGGCGGGAATAGGATATTAGGCTATTCGCAATTTATTGGCATTAATAGAATTAATTAATTAATTTAATTCTATTAATGCCAATAAATTGCGAAATAACACAGGGGATGAGATGGGGGTAGAATAGACAAGCATTAAAATACTACAGCACTCTAACATCTGATAAGAATGTGCTAGTATTAGAAATTGTAATTAAGAATTAAAAATCAGTTTGGTATAAAATGAGGATATACATATTGCTGAGAATTCAAAATTTTCAATGGCTTCAGTAACTAACTAGTGTTATAATAATTTATTTCTTACTTGTAAAAATGAGATAATCATTAATAATAATATTGCTACTGAACAGTTTTAGGAGGCCAGTTGCTTAGATATATAAATCATAATTATTATACAATATCACAAGAATTCAAATCAAAATAGTTTACATTCATGTTGATTGTAGGTATCACTTAGAAGTGGTGAGCCACAAAATGACAACTTTGATAAGTGTTATCAATGTAAAGGTTGGGAAAGGTCATGTCAATATATCTAATGTTAGTTGCGCCCAACTGTTGTAGATGTTATGGATGCCAATTTCTTTGAGTTAACTTGTCTCTTATTTTTAACCAGATTATAAAAGGAAAAATATGTTTGTTTCATATTAAGATATAATCCTACCTAGTTTTTTGTCCAATCCATATTCAATGTTGACTTTAGCTGCAGCCTTCTTCAAGATACCCATGGCAATAATTACCGGATACTGAAAAGAATAAGTAAAGAATTACTGAGCTCTAAATCTCCCTTACATAAGTAAACCGTTTTCAAATACATAATTACAGTAGTTACACTAGCTGTGTTTACACTGCATTATAGTGTATTTTAAATGTATACAATATACCATCTGTAAAGGCTGGATAAATTCAACCCTTTTCCAAAAGGATTACTTTTTATGATTAACATGTATCTTGCCTCTAAAGGTATCCTTCTAGAATTTCTATTGAAGCCACCAATTAAGGAGATTAATTATCATATACCTACCGGCATCCGTTCTTCAATACCGCCAATAGGGAAGTTCATAATAGACCGAACAGTTTGCGCGCCATACAATTTGTCGTCGGGGACGTCAAGTTCCCCCATTGTGTCACGTTCCTTCCTCTGAAAGAAAATAAGGGTGGAAATTAAATAAATAACAATACCGTTCGGGATAAAGCATTTATTTTCCAAGTTACTTAAGTTGTTTTCCAAAAGGCATAAAGGAGCAACAAATGTTGCCCATTCTATGCTGTCAGATAATACGTTTATAATATACTAAGTAGTAGAAAGTGTTAAGCAGGCGCATTGTGATATGCATTGGGGTTACAAAACAAACTACAAGTTGTTGTCTTAGACGGACAAAACTACTTGTAAAACTATATTAGTAACAGTACCTACGTAAAAATAACGTTTCTATATTTATATGTAATTATATAACTTTATACTGATAAGGGTATCGTTCTAATAAGATGAAAGTAACATTATATTACGCAATATTGACAAGTATGATTATATATTATTAACTTAACTAATATTAGATTATTTTTCGTTTCTATCAATCTTACCATTTTCACCGGTTTGCCTTCAGGATTCATACAAACGGTGCAAGCCATTTTTCAAAATACAAAAACTATAGCAAACTCAAAGAAACTACGATTAATTTGGAAATGACAGCGACAAAGTTATTTTTTTAATACCGCGACTAGCTATAAAAACTTTTTGAATTAATCAACACAGACTATCAATATCACTTTTGCGTGGCAAGGGACCCGTCTAGTCGCAAAACAAGTTTAGCAATAAGTGTACGTTTGCCAGTCGCCAAGCTATACTTGCTTGACGATGACGAAACACCGACTAACGAATCCGATCGAACACAGCAACAGTAAAATTGTGCTTTTATTACAATGCTTGCGTATTGCGAGCTTAAGATCGACTGAATGAAATTTAATGCAAACCCAGGAGTCTAGGTACTGGGGCATGAAAACAATGTTATCAGTTGGATCGTCACTGTAATTTACATAATAAGTTATAGACTTGATGCCACTGTATAACGTTACAAAATTAATAAGGTTTTTTATTAGGTACTAGTTATGCCCGAAAACACGAACTTGGAATAGATATTTTGGGCTTCTTATTATTTATTTTGCAAACAACCTCCTCAGCTTCATTAATTACAGGTGTTACCCACGAGAATGTCTGCGTCCCGTCGTTTTTGCATATTATCATGTAAAAAACACACATACATAGTTTTCTCCACTCCTATTGGCCGCAGCCTGATGCTTTATAACCTTCGTCAATTTATAACTTTCACCATTAATTAATAACTAACACATTTTTTTTCATTGAAACAAACTCTTCAGCATTATACTCTAAAGTAGGTATATATAAACAGTCACATTTATAGATGTAGTGTACACTGTACATCTCATAAATAGTAGCTAAATTAAAATTTTACAATGAAACAACCAGACATGTATTTATATGTATTAAATGACCACACTTTTCAACCCTAATCTACATGCATGCCGACCCAATCAATACAAATATTGATGTTCACTTAGACATAAACCTAATGAAACTTGCCGAAGGCTTCTTGTAGTTGTAACAATCAATAAAGGAAACTATGACTAAAAATACACTTGTGCCGTTATTACTAAGAGTTACAAATATACCAGTCAACCAATTTCCTAACCTACCTAATATACAAAGTTTTTCATATATGAAAGCACAATGAACCATTTTTTAAACAAGATTAATCTATCATACAAATACAAATTTAAAGGTACATAAATCAAATTTTATATATGTGAAGGAAATGAGAATGTAATATAGAATAGATGAGAAATTAATATAACAAGTATTTATGGTCCTGATTACACTATATGTATATATTTTTATGATATTATTATTCTACACATGCACAGACCTCCTGTTGAATTGGAGAATAAATTTAGACTCACAATAATACTCTATTAAGCTGTTAATATTCCCTCTAAGTTTTTTTTTTGAGTACAATTAACAATTTGAGGACTCTGGATGCATCCAGAGTCCGCAAAATGTTAATTCTGTACTCCAAAAAAAAAACTTCTTAGCAAGTATGTATAATATGAAAATACAAATATATTTATATACAATATGAATTAAGTTATGTGCACTGACATTTTTGTCTGTGAAATTGTTGTCAGACATTGATGGTTGAATCATCATTTCTTTTTACATTAATAATTTGTATAATACTGAGTCTAAAAATGCTGCAGGTTACTTGTTTTGGTATGAAAATGCAATTTAAATAATTGTTTTGAATAAAGGAATTTTTTTTTTATAAAACATGCATATGAATAGAGTATTATTTTTATGTGTAATGTTTTAACATATTTCTAGTTTTATAATTAGATTGCTAGATATGTTTTCGATATATTATTGTTATTCCTGAAACATATGTACTTCGTTTGAGTAAGAACTCGTAAACATTAAATATCTCATAGAAATATAAGTCATTTTATTTATTACCGAAATAACGAATGAACAACAATGAACACATTAGTCACTATTTAAAATGAAGTTAATAAATAATAGCGGTTATGCAACTTACCGCGGTAACATTTGTTGTGGAGAAATCTCTCTTTTCCATCAAACGAACGACACATCGTAGATTTTTTGACGAGTTTACTAACACGGAAGATAATTTAAATAGAGAAGAAGCCATATTAATTTATTTGTATTATCTTCTCAGCTTTCAAAGGGAATAAACCAAATCCAAAAATCCTAATTCGAAAGGCTAAAGCCGACAGAACAATTTCTATTTTTTTTGTCAAAAGTGTAGTCTGTAGTCCGTGGCAGTCTGTGAACTGTCAACTTCTCCTTCGTTAAATAAATTTGATTATATTTGCAGTTTTGCATAATCTATATTATCCATTACAAATTATACTAAAAAAGGAATTGTCTGCAAGAGAACAAAAAATATCTATTAAATTTCAAAATTCTCAATATTTTGAAATGTACTAAAAAGATATAAGATTACATTCGTTAGGTTACATACAATATTTCTAACATGAACGCATCCTACTACACTAGTGCCTCTGGTGAAAATAATGTGCACTAAAGTAACGAATCGGGAGTTGTCGGCTTTTATCGTATTCAGTCACGCCTAGACTCGTTCGAAAAGCGAAACCGACATCATTTCATGGCGACGTACCGAGACTGATGCTCTTGTCGTGGACTTTCGTGAAAAGACCAAATTTATTCAACAGAACGGATTTTTTCCTTAATAAAAGTTATATTATAGGAACGAAATGTTGTGAATTTAACTTTATATAAGGTGAATATAGTGTGGTTTCGTTGAGAATATATGACAAAGTGATATAATATTGTACAAATTGGTGAAGTGGTGCAATAGTGCTAAGATTGTTCCTACGACTGACATCTGAGGATTTTAAAGGATTGCCTAAGTTCGCCAGTAACTAAACCCAAGGTAATTTATAGGATTAAAGGATTGTTGAATTGTTGGTAATGCGTGGCGTTTATTGGAAATGGCTTCCGTTTATCGACTCGCGTGCGCTGTAATGGCTGACTTTCTTTTATCAATTCCTAGGGAAAAACCACGGATAGGACTATCCGCATTAATCAGTGACTTACTCTAGCTATTGTTACGTAAAAATGCAGTTTCGTCGCTCTTACATTACTATCGTTGCGTAGGTAGAGGATTAGACCAAGTGGGTGGAGGTTGGGAATGCAATCAACACGAACGACTTGCTGGCTGTAATGTTGCGTTTAAGTTACTCAAATACTTCTTACAATGAATCATTGGTCAAATATTGATCCTTCGCTATTTAGATTTCTTAATGACTTTTGAATATGAATAATATATGAAATCAAAATAATATCAATAATTCATTTTTTACGCACTATGGGATGGAGAGTATGGTTTTATTGTTGGGTTATTTTAAAATAAAGCCCTCGTTTATTACGTGCAAGGGCCTTAACCTGCGTTATTTGTTGTTACAGGTTTTTGGACATAACATAGTGTCCACATTATGAAAAAAACAGTACATGAGACAAACTGATTATTGAAATTTGAAGCACTTCTCTTGTTTATCAATCATGACAATCCTGTAAGTATAAAATCATTGTTGTCAATGTTTTTAGTTAGTTAAAATTTGTTTTACTTTTGTTTATCATTACGCTACCACGTTCGCTCCCTCGTATGAACAGCATGCCAACTTATGATATGATTTTTTATTACTTCCCTTTGTGATGCTGAGGCTTTCGTCGGCGTTGTGATGATCAGTTTACTGACCGCAATGGTGTTGTCAGTTTCCGTTTATTCCTAGTACTAACCTATTTTTGTTTCGCCGGGATAAAGAATTTCATTTGGGGCATCTAGGCATTCCAATATTGTCCTATAATTCTCATTATTATTGATTTTCGTATTGTATTCGATAGCTTAGGTTTGATTATTTTTGGTGCTTTAAAATAGGTTGGTATCAAATTAAACGGGTACCTAAACACCTCGGTTGCAGCTCGTGTTATCTCATCGCACTGGACCTCTCTAAGACATCGTATTTAAATTTGTATAAATGGCTTTTCCACTGCGGTCACCCAACTAGGGGTACATTTATTAAATTAGGTGTAATTGAGGTGCGAACGGAGCGGTGCAGTGCGATGGGATCGTAGCGGCGCCCGCGGCCAGTGGCTGAGCGGTGTATCGCGTTGCAGATGGGCGGGTGGGTGTCTACGCGGGAGACGGCGGTAGACCACATGCGCCCGCGCGATGTGGCGCGTGCTGCTCGTCCTCGGGGCGGCGTGCGTCGCCGCGCGCGCCTCGCAGGACGTGGTGCGCATCTTCACGGACAAAAACGACCCTTCCACCCAGTTCAACCATCTCGTTGTTGACCGCAACACAGGCAGAGTTTACGTCGGCGCCGTCAACAGACTCTTCCAGTTGTCCCCCGACTTAGAGGTCGCTCAAAAAATCGACACGGGTCCAGTTAACGATTCCTCCCAGTGTACTTTCGATTGCCCACCTAACTTCGTCAAGAAGCCGACAGACAATGTTAACAAAGCTCTTGTAATAGATTATGCTACAAGTCGTCTTATAACGTGCGGTTCGGTGCTGCAGGGGCTGTGTTCCGTTCGTAATTTAAACAATATTTCGCATGATGTACGGGAAGTGCGCGAACCGGTCGTTGCGAATAATGCGAGTGCTTCCACCGTTGCGTTTATTGCACCGGGGCCTCCGAATCCCCCCATGACGCAAGTTATGTACGTTGGAGTTACGTTTACTGGCAATTCACCTTACCGATCGGAGGTACCTACTGTTAGCAGCCGGTCTCTAGAAGATGACAGACTTTTTATGATCGCTCGTACTGCCGTTACGACTGGAACGCGAATGTTTGTTAACTCATTATCTCGTGAACGATATCCTATAAACTATGTCTATGGCTTTAGTTCAGAGGGATTCAGTTATTTTTTGTCAACTCAGCTAAGAGGAGTGGGCTCCGATACGTATTACAGTAAGTTGGTACGTGTGTGCCATGACGACGAAAATTATTATTCATACACCGAAATACCCATGTCTTGTATGGGCGAAGGGGGCGGAAATTTTGGATATAACCTTGTACAAGCTGCATTTGTTGGAAAAGCTGGATCTGTATTAGCCGGCGAATTAGGAATTACTGCTCAGCATGATGTATTGTTTGCTGCATTTAGTCAAAGTGAATCAATCAACACTAATGTTCCATCAAATCTCTCAGCTTTATGCGTGTATTCTTTGAAAGCTATCAGGCGTAAATTTATGCAAAACATAAAAACTTGCTTCAGTGGAAATGGCTCAAGAGGACTGGATTTCATATCTCCTTCACACGCCTGTATTGGCACTAAGTTACAATCTATAAGTGAAGATTTCTGTGGCCTCGATGTGAATACACCACTAGGAGGTGAACAGCCCGTAGAAGCTGTCCCAGTAGCAGTATTCAAGAAGCGTTTAACAGCCGTCGCAGCGACAGCCACCGGCGATTACACTGTTGTTTTCGCTGGCACCGCAGAAGGCCACCTCAAAAAAATTGTCGTAGAAAGCGCAACCTCAGCATTTGAATACGGAGATATTGTTGTCGATGAAGGTTCACCAGTCAATAAAGATCTATTTTTCGATACTCAATTGATGCATTTATATGTAATGACCGAAAGAAAAGTATCAAAAGTCAAAGTTCAAGAATGTAGCGTGTACAAGTCGTGCTTGACATGCCTTGGGGCAAAAGATCCGTACTGCGGTTGGTGTTCTCTCGAGAACAAGTGCAGTCTTCGATCAGACTGCCAAGAAGCCGCAAAAGATCCATTGTATTGGATTTCCTACCGCAGCGGGCGATGTACTACAATTACACAAGTAACACCGAACCAATTACAACGAACGACAGCGAGGACTTTAGATTTAGTTATCGAAAATTTACCGACGCTTAATGGACAGTTTTTATGTGCGTTCACGGCACTAGATCGCACTTTAATAACGAACGCTACTCGTAAACCGTATGGGGTTAATTGTACTACGCCCCGAACTGATACATTGCCTCCGATACCCGCGGGTCAGCACCATTTTACAGCTAAATTATCCGTGCGCACGACACAGGGACCTGATTTTGTAGCATCTAACTTTACGTTTTTCGATTGTAATACGTACAGCTCGTGCACTCAATGCGTCAGTTCGTCTTTTCCTTGTGATTGGTGTGTAGATGGCCATCGCTGTACTCACGACACAGCAGAGAACTGTAGAAATGATATACTCGTTACTGGTGTTAGTCGAATAGGTCCCAGTTATCGTTCCGGTCCCGGGTTTTGTCCAACAATTAATTCTACCTCTGATGGTACAAATGAAATTTTAGTTCCTTCAGGTGTTAAAAAAGCTATTAAAGTTAAGGTTCATATTATCGGTCAGTTTATAGTTCAAACTAGGTTTGTCTGTCAGTTCAACATAGAGGGTCGGGTCACGCATGTTAACGCTCAACTCCTTGCTGATACTATTTATTGTGAAGCTGTAGAATTTACATATACTTCGCGTGCTCCAAACATAACAGCGTCCTTTGCTGTAATATGGGGCGGGTCAAAACCATTAGATAACCCAGATAATACGCATATACTCATCTATAGATGTAATGACATGGCAGATAACTGCGGTATGTGTTTAGCTCTTCCAGAAAAGTTTGGTTGCGGCTGGTGTCAGGGTTCTGATAAGTGCGAAGTACAGGAGCAATGCGGTGCCCCAAGCGTCTGGCTCAATCGTACTCAAACTTGTCCCAACCCTGAAATCATTTCCTTTAAACCACAACTCGGCCCTTGGGACGGTGGGACAAATATTACTATAGAAGGCATTAACTTAGGTCGTAATATATCCGATATATACAATGGCGTAACGATAGCTGGAATAAAATGTCAGCCAATTATTGAATTGTACGTAAAAACTAGGAGAATTGTATGCACAGTTGACGGACCCGGCGAAGAGGTTCCTCGCGACGGGCCTGTCGTAGTTCGCGTTGCTGACTATCGCGGTGAATCGAAACACCATTACGCTTTCGTCAACCCGAAAATTAATTCCATACAGCCTAAATATGGTCCGCAGTCGGGTGGCACAAAATTACGTATTACGGGAGAATATCTTAACGCGGGAAGTAATATTCAAGCATCTATAGATGACTTACCATGCGCAATTTTATCAGTGTCACACGAGGAAGCGGTCTGTAGGACGAGCCATTCATATCAGTTAAAAATGGGCACGCTGCGGATGCGATTCGATACTGGGACGCGTACTTTGGAACGGGAAAAGTTTGAATATATCGAGGATCCCGTAGTAGTTTCAGTCGAATCGGGACCTCTATTAGCATCACAACGAAAACAGCCTAAAGGTATTCCGTCCGGAGGGATAAACATCAAAGTGATGGGCCGAAATTTCCATTCCATACAGTTTCCACAGATATACGTATATCACGACAACCGACCGTATATTGCGCCTTGTCATAGAGTCGATTTCCAAACACATCTTATTTGTGAATCGCCCGGTATCGAAAGCGCCGGACTTAATCTAGATCCCGATAGGCCGCTAGAGTTAGAATACGGTTTTAATATGGACGATGTTCAAAGCGTGCAAAATCTCACTACCAAAACGGGGGATGCGTTTCTCCTTTATCCGGATCCTATATATGAAAAATTCGATGAAGACGTAAAGTACTACAAATCTGAATATTTGACAATCAACGGTCAAAATTTAGATAGAGCTTGCACCGAGAGCGATGTCGAAGTTCGCGTCGGAGAAAGTTTATGCAATGTGACGGGTCTAGCAAGACATCAACTGACATGTCGACCTCCATCACGCAACGAGTTGCCCGATGGGGTTGATACGCCCGAGGTCGTCGTAAAAGTCGGCCGAGCGCTTACTTATAAAATTGGCAAGTTATCGTACTCCTCACAGGCCGGTCTTCCGGCGGCTATAGGTAAACCAGTATTATTCGGTGTCATAGCAAGTATTATAATACTCATTTTTGTATTTGTCGTGTTTCTAGTTATGTATAGGCGTAAATCTACTGAAAATATTAGGGTTTTAAAAAATATGCAAGAGCAAATGGATATATTAGAGTTAAGGGTAGCTGCGGAATGTAAAGAAGCTTTCGCGGAATTGCAGACTGAAATGACTGATTTAACGGGAGATATTACTGGCGGAATACCTTTCCTCGACTATCGTACGTACGCCATGAAAATATTGTTTCCCAACATAGACGACCACGCCGTATTGCAGTGGGAGCGGCCAGAGCTTATGAGGAAGGATAAAGGCCTCCGGATGTTCGGGCAGCTTATTTTAAATAAAACATTCCTTTTATTATTTATTCGTACTCTAGAAAGTAATAGATATTTTTCAATGCGCGATCGCGTCAATGTAGCTTCTCTTATTATGGTAACTTTACAAAGTAAGATGGAGTATTGCACGGACGTCTTAAAAACTCTATTAGCGGAGCTTATAGAAAAATGCATGGAGAGTAAAAGTCACCCTAAGTTACTACTGAGACGGACCGAGAGCGTAGCCGAAAAAATGCTAAGCGCTTGGTTCACGTTTCTTTTATACAAATTCCTTCGCGAGTGCGCAGGCGAGCCGCTCTATCTTTTGTTTAGATCGATGAAAGGTCAGGTAGACAAAGGGCCCGTAGACGTTATAACCTCTGAGGCACGATACTCCTTAAGCGAAGAGAAACTAATTAGGCAGTCGATCGATTTCAAACCGATGACCGTTAGCGTGTCCATTTCACAACAGACATTGTTTGTTAGCGGACTAGAGGCTCCCACGGAAAACGTGCAAGTTAAAGTTCTCGACTGTGATACGATTAGCCAAGTAAAGGAGAAGTGTTTGGACGCGATTTACCGCGCCACGCCGTATTCGCAAAGGCCGAGTCGTGACGAGTTAGATTTGGAGTGGCGGACGGGCGCCTGCGGTCGATTAATCCTGTACGACGAAGACAGCACTACTAAGTGCGAAGGCGAATGGCGCAAACTGAATACTCTCAATCATTATCGCGTACCGGACGGCGCTTGCCTTAGTCTAGTTGCTAAACAGAGTTCTGTTTACAACCTGTCCAACATGGAAAAGAACGATAAGTCCCACACCTACGAAACGCTAAACAGGGGTAAATACGGTTCCGCCAGTCCACCGGCTAGTCCGCTTAAGTATGAGCACGGCGGTGGCTTTAAATACTGGCACCTGGTGAGACACCACGACGGCGACGCGCATAAAGAGGGAGAACGCGGAAATAAAATGGTTTCGGAGATATATCTGACCCGTCTTCTCGCCACTAAGGGCACTTTGCAAAAGTTTGTCGATGATTTATTCGAAACAATATTTAGCACCGCGCATCGGGGCTCCGCTTTGCCACTCGCAATAAAGTATATGTTTGACTTCCTCGACGATCAGGCGCTTCAGCATGCGATCTCCGACCCCGAGGTCGTTCACACGTGGAAGAGCAATTCTTTGCCTTTGCGTTTCTGGGTTAATCTAATTAAAAATCCGAATTTCGTTTTCGATGTGCACAAATCTAATACTGTCGATTCTTGCTTATCTGTCATCGGGCAAACTTTCATGGACTCTTGTTCCACTTCCGATCACATTTTAGGTAAAGATTCTCCTTCATCGAAGCTTTTGTACGCTAAAGATATTCCCGTCTATAAGGAATGGGTAGAGCGTTATTATGCTGATATTAAGTTGATGCCGGCGATATCCGACCAGGATATGAACGCTATGTTAGCGGAGGAGTCGCGCCTCCACACCAAGGAATTTAACACGAACTGCGCATTAAACGAGTTGTACGCGTACGCGGTGAAGTATAACGAGCAGCTCATGGTGACGCTCGAGGAAGACGAGTTCTCGCAGAAGCAGCGGCTCGCGTACCGCCTTGAGCAGGTGCACGGCCTCATGGCCCACGATTACAACGTCTAGAGCGCTCGCCGGAGGCTGAACCCACCGCCCTGTATATAACTGCCCTCGCACATATCTATTGCTGGCAACTATTGTATATATTAGATAGTGTACAGTCTTTAATATTGTAATTTTTGTATAATTTCAGCGGTCCGATGTCGTTTTTTAATTTTATATAATGAACTTTGTATTAATTTTACACGACGAATTCCGACCGGCCGCGGTCGTGCCACAGTATGCATCGTAAAATATAAAATTGTGTATGTATGTCTATGTGTGCGTACGAGTTAATGTTAAACGTCGATCGGTGTAAAATGTGTGTCGCAAATCATGTAAGCTCGCCGGCGAGCGATGTGCTCGCTGTCGGGTTCATTTTTAAATTTATACTCGCAGTCTACTTAATGAAATAACCGACAGTGAACCGGTGAACGATTCCATTAATAAATATCGTCGAATGTACTGTTGTGTTTGATTTCGCGCAGCGCCATTGTCCGCGTCCGACGAAAGCCCACGCGCTTCGGCAGCTGTATGCAGGGAGAACGCGGTTGCGTTGCCGCCTCGCCTCTAAGCTTCTCTCTCACTCTTTGCGATCCCATTGGGTCAGTGTCACTCTCTTGTTGTTGCCCCGTCTGGGCCCCGTTGCGAGGCGGCAAGGATGAACCGACGTGCCCTGCTGTTTCAGTCGGTACGTGAGGGTCGCGGCCAGATTGGCATTCGCGATCGTGAACAACTTATACTGCATCCCCGCTTACGTCGTGTGGATGATGGCGCTGCGTCTCACGAGACCCCTCTACGCCCCCCTCTATTGGAAGATAGAAGGCCTTATGTACCACTGGCTGTTGGCGATGGTGTCCCTCTGGACGTGGACAGCGGGATATGAGAGTAAGTACATGCATCTATAAAGAAAAAGACCACAGAAATACTAAAATTGCAAATCCAATACGTAGGATAATAAAAAAAAATATATTGGGATACTATGTAGCCATAGGTAGTTATACAAAATCTATGTAGATTTAATTCCTGTAAATAATTACAATAGAATATCAATTTTAAGATGACAAACTATTGTGGTTGGGGTTATACGAAACATGATCAAGATAACATTGATTAAATGCAGGTAGCATTATAATCTTTCTATATTTAGAATATTTATGACAAAGTTGCAGCAAATTTGTCAATCAAAATTTAAACTAGCAGGTATTCTTATTACATTATTTCAAATATAGTTACATTTTGTGGTTCTTAATGACTCAGTAAATAAAAATATAATGACAAATCGTTGGTGATGATTTGAAATTGAAACGTGGCATCTAAGTTTTCGTATGTAGTACCTATTTATAAGCTTGACCACGAGTCTATTAGGCGAACTTCACTGGACGATGACTGTGACCTTGCGAACAGCTGGACGAAGAACGTCCTAGGTAAGTGTCATGATACTAAACATAAGTATTGCGTCAAGCTAATATTTGCATACGCATGACGCCATTTCGGTTTAATGAGATCCAGAGCCAGATAGTTTTTTGTATCTAATCTTATGATTTAGATATTTTTTCTCATATAAGTTATCCTATAATATTATAGTATTTAGACACTTTTTATCTAATCTTGACGTCGGTAAAGATAGGAATTTGACTATTCTTGGATAATATATATCAGTTTGTGATAACCTAGCAATTGAATACGCGTATGTACCTTAGTCACTAAGATGACGTTAGCCGTATTTGAATAAATGTTATGACTACTTAAATTCTTAGAATATTATTAGTAATGTAAGCAAAAACATTGGGTAAAAATCTTTTACAGCGGAATACATTTTTCTAAAGTTCTCTCACTAGGTCAAATATATTTCCATCTATAAATTTCGGAGTAAGCCACCCATACATTTTGTTGTCATGTGGTTTATAACGATAATTAATTAGTTAATCAACTGTGTAGTAATTTTGCTTTAATTAACATCGTCATTAATGTTAATTATGTATGGAGCAGTCCTCTACTTAAACCTATTAATTTGTATGCTTATTTATGTTATTATAGTATCGCAGAGTATGCGAAATTCGTAGCTGTCATCAACGTTAAAACTAATTACTGCAACGCTCATTAAATATTTACGAATGTGAACTAGCATCTAACGCAACGCTAAGCGGAAAGAAAACCGAATTGCATAAGTGAGTTAACCGAATTGCCACACACTGACCGGATTCGTATAAAAGTAGGCTTCTTCGAATGTTATCCACGTTACAATCTGATTTGCGTTTAATATCCTCTTGTGCAAGCCGCAAATTAGATTTCGAGTGCGGTCGGTTAATTGATTCTGAGCTGCGTATAAAGCCGTCAATGGAACAATGGCATTTCGACAGAACCGGTCGCGAGCTGTATTGACCTTATGCGGCCTGTACATATGGGTATAGCGTGAGTCGCGCCAGCCAGAGGACGGTCGATGACCGCTCCCTACCAACTAGGAATGCTACCTTCTCCACTCGTCAAAGCGTGCATTTCGAGTGGCGAATTTGCATGTCACCGGATTTTGAGTTTAAAACTTTTGCTGCAAGTATTTGGGTTCCAATTTAGTCGAAATGGTGAGCAAGATCGATACGAACGCTTGGACGACTTGTGCGGTGGACATTTAACTTTTTTCGTAACACTTTCGTGAATGCAAAATATTTGAACTTTAAGAGTACATTGAAACAGGTTTAATTTTGTTATAGTTAGCTCAATATAGGATAAGAAGTTTAACTTACAAACAGAATAAAACATGATGGATAAAAACTTGATCTAATTGAAGATTCGTTTTAAAGATCGATTGAAACGTGAAGAGTTTGTTTGGCAACGCGCTAATCTCAGGAGCTACTGGTTCGAATTTAAAAACTAATTATTAATTTAATTTTAACTTAGATAAAATGAGAAAACATACTGCTGCGTATATCACATAACTATTGTAAATTGTCAAATTTATCACGATGTGTACGTATTATACCTCAGTCTGTATTTATGTGTCTTTACTTTCTCGACAACGTTCGGTGACTCATTCGCCAAGCGTCTGGAATCTACATAATACATATATCTAGTACGCATTTCTACATGTACTAAAACACTGACTCGGCTTGTCAAGCGGCGTAAGATTTGTGATTCATTATTTTAATTAGTGCGTTTGCCATCTGGTTGGTAAAATTGCATGGGCAAGATACCTTTACTGAACTTGTTTATTGTAAGATTTCTTTTGACTTATGTATCTGTGCCTTTTACTTGTCCCAATTTAGTGCAGAATAACTTTGGGGAAAAGTAGAACATTATGATTTTAGATAAATAAACATGGGTCTTATTACATATGTTCTTAAGCTCGGGTCACATTATTAAAATATGTATAAGAAAAAAATATTTTCATAAATGATATACAAATCTATAGAGATGTTTACCTGTTACATTGTTGTATACACATAAATATTACATAGGTAAGGAGATAGTCGAAGTGGAGCGTTTGTAGAAGATAAGAAATGAAATCTTAAATTTATCATACCAACCAGGCTCAACGATCACAACTGGAATTCGAACATCACAACGTCAATTACATTCTGAAGAAAAGCCACACTAAATTTTATAGCCAAATTTACCACATGAATCGAAAGACGCTGTATTGTCTACATCGAATCAATTTTTCGTGAAAGCCTAACATTTTTAATTTGTTTTATAGATTTTTTTTCTATAATTTTTTATTAATCCAACCCCTTCTACCAAACGTTAGTTTTGCAGCGATTACTTATCAAAAAAACTATTTTAGCTACAAAATTATGACGAAGTGTTGTATTTAATATTATAACGTAATCTGATAAATAGAGGTAGAACTAAATATTATAAGCAAATTGAACCAGCTTTTTGGATATACTTTGCCTTAAATAAAAATACTTCATTAGTGTTATAACACTTAAGAAGTGTGTTTCCGAACGAATCTACTATAGAAAATTAATGATATTTTGTTATGTGGACATTCCTCGGGTACGGTACGGCGGACATGTAAAATAATTTTTTTTAGATATCAATAATGTATGAGTATGTTCTGCCTATTATAACTATATAGTTTAAACGATTACATACTATATACACTATGAAATTTAGACAGAATTCCGTAGATTCAGCTTAATTACCATATTTCTCGAATACAAAATTCTTCGTAGATCCTCTATATAATTTAGGATCGGCATTAAAAACAAATTATATTCCAACGGCGTCTGCCTACGTGGTGATTATACATTAAAATCACGCCGAGCCCGCTATAAATTCCGTAGGGACATCCTTCGATTGTGGTTCAATTGATCCTTCCTGCGCTAGGGGTTTTATAAGAATTTGAATTTAATCAGTGAACGTTGATTCACATTACTGGGGTCAAAGGACTGGCTAATAAGCTGGAGTACAGCCGAGGCTGATAAACTAAGGCGTTTGATTCACTTGTTTACGTATTGTCTTATCTCAAAAAGAAATTTAGACTAGCTAGATTGAATTTGGACTGTCTGCGACAACTGCACTACATGCACATGAATTCAGCAATATATTAAGCATATTATTGTTAAAAATTGATACCAAGGTCAGAACTCATACCCACATACATCCCCAGCGTTTCGTGTTTACTACTACCAATTGAGCTACGGTTTCAGTCTCTTGAGGAATCTAACATTAATTTAGAATTTTAATTAATTCAAAAACTATTTAGATGTATAGCCAATAACATGAAACAGTGTCAAATAAAAATATTACTTTTAAATACTTAATATTAGTAGATGACTGGTGTTTTTATAGTGCATCTTATAACTACTGTTAATAGAGTTAAGATGCGCATGATTCGAAGTACTGCGATAGAGCTCGATATTTTAAAATTCTATATCATTTGTATCTTGAATTCTTTCCAACACTTACGTTCTTGGCAGTGATTCACACATCCTTCCGTTTCATTTTATGAATTGGTCCATTGATTGCCTTTGTTGTGGGCATAAATAATGTGACTCAATTTCTTTTGTCGTGTATTCGAATGCATAGCTAGAATTCTATACTTAGAGAAGGATTCTTCAAGGTCTTATTTGTACTTATTAGTTGCTTGTACGTTGGGTTTTAGTAGGTACTAAAACTACTTTTATCATCACGCCAGTTATCACATGATGCTTTACACAATAACTCAAGGAGGTACATCTTTTATCCTCGCGAATATTCTGTGCCTTTACGTAACAAATAGTATGCTTTAACGATGGTTTAACTAAAGAAAATCTTTAAGAAGCTTAACAGGGGATAGGAGTAAAAATCAATCTGATATAAGTTACGATAACGGCTTCAGTTTATTGGATCGTTTTATGGCTTCAGATTTTAATCTATTCGATGGAATCTTTAAAATGCAGATTTATTGAACACTTTAACTTTTAACGAGACGGGGATTTCTCGTGCTTGAGAGGTGAGAGATAATAGTAGGAGTAGCACCATTTCTAAAGTAGAATAACGAGCTTTAAGGACTAACCAAGTATTACGTGTTGTTGTCTGGTTAAATAATAGAATAATGTTGAAATTTTGTGCCATGTAGCTAGGAACAAATTTCAACTTAAGTAGCAACAGGCCACCTGTAATAATCAGATAAATATTTTAATAAAACACTTCGAACGCGGTATATATATTAGTTAAAATTATTTTTAACTTCGGCCAGCAGCCATGGTCACGGGAAGACTAAAGATGGAGGATGTCCCCGACGTCAAAGTAAAAATTGCTACGCTACACACACTCTAGGATAAAGATTTTCATAATTTCTTTGTCATGACCTCTATCAACTAGGTAAGTGCATTGTTCATTGTTTTCAGTTTTGATAACCAACTCTGATCTCTATCGCGTCCGCTTAAGGTGTATGAATGT